TTAGATTTGAAGCATTTATCAACAAGTTTGATCTTTTAAACGACCATCAGTATGGGTTTAGGAAGAATTGTTCAACCTCATTAGCAGTTATGGAATTGGTAGAGCAGATTGCAACAGCAGTGGATCAAAAACTTCATGTAGTGGCTGTCTTGATTGACTTGTAAGGCATTTGATACAATTGATCACACATACCTGCTCAAGAAATGTGAATACTATGGTCTTCGTGGTAAAGCCAATCAATGGCTTGAAAGTTATTTAAGCAGTAGATTTCAATATGTAAATGTTAATGATATAGATTCACAGCTTGAAAGAGTAATATGTGGTGTACCGCAAGGCTCGGTGCTAGGACCGAAATTATTCAACCTATACCTGAACGACATCTCTTCTGTATCTTCTCGGTTAAAATTTATTATGTTTGCAGATTATACTAATTTCATTTGTATGGGAAAATATATGAGTAAATAATTACAAGAGGTTGAAAATGAATTGGGTTCAATAAAAAAATGGTTTGATTACAACAAGCCATCACTAAATGAAAATAAAACCAAATTTATGATATTTTCAGGGAACAGGCACAATGACGGTGCTAAGCTGTATTTAAATGGAGTCCCAATTGAACAAGTACATGAAACTAAATTCCTAGGTGTGATTATTGATCGTAAACTCAGTTGGAGACCACAAATTGAATATATCAAACGGCAAGTGTCTAAATCTATTGCTATACTTTATAAAACTAGTGATGTACTAAATAAAAATGCCTTGTTTTTGATTTCTTGCCTTATTTGTCTTACTGTGCAGAGATTTGGGGAAATGCAGGTAAAACGTGTGTTGAGACTGTATTTAAATTACTAAAAAAGGGGATTAGAATAGTTAATAAATTGGGATACCTCGAACCAACCCATAATCTATTTAGTCAAACTAAAACGCTAAAAATAGGAGATATTATTAAAGTAAAAATCTTAGAGATTCTCCATAAAGTAGTTAATAATAATATCCCAAGTTGCATAAAAGTTTATTTCAAACCAAGAGATGATCATTATAATCTCCGGTGTATTTATGTTTGAATGTGTAAAAGCCAGAACTAATGTTTAATCAAGATGTGTTTCAGTTTTTGGTGTGAAATTGTGGAATGAGTTAGATGATGATTTGAAGAAATGTACTTCTTTACTAAAGTTTAAAGCAGGTGTAAAGTGTCACATATTTACAGGGTATGAAAAGTATGTATAGACATTAATGAATTTTCATTGTGGTTATTTATATTGGGGAAAATAAAAAATTTATATTGGTTATGTATCTTAGATGGAAAATAGGGTAGGCTAAAATAAGCATTGCTTCTGCCTATTCCTTTTTTGGTTTAAATTCAAGTTGTTAATATTGTTGTTTTTGTTTGAAAAGAGAAATGTTATGTTAATGCTATAAACCAAAATAAAGACCGAAAGAAAGAAGAAAGAATTGTTTAATTAAAGCAATCATGTGAGTGAAGGTGTTGCGAAGTTCTTAAATTCCTAAAACCTATTCAGTTGTAAGCACTTGTACTTGTTAAGGTGTGGAGGAACTTGGCGTCCAATTCTACTTTTGTTTTTAAAAGGGCTCTTCACAAAGGTGCTGGTTGCTAGGTGACGTGTCACCTTGTTTGCATAAATGGCCATACATTTTCTATTGCAATAGACACTGTGGGGAAAAGGAATGAAGATACAAAAAGTGAGAAAAACATTTTGATTCAAGGTTTTAGTTTTTATCCATCAAGTTCAGAGGAGAGTTGCTGAGAGTGGACTGGGCTGCCTGTGAGTGCTCTGGGAAGGAGGAAGGAGGACTCCACTGTTGGTCAGAAATGGCATTGTCCAGATGTTTTCAAGTTGTTCATGAGGGATCTTGATTTCCTGACACAAGTTTTTTTATAAGTAGTTACAGAATCTTTGTGATAATCTGGAAACCAACGTAGTTTCATTTTCTGAGATTAAAGAAGTGTGACAAATTTGAGACTATTTAGGAGGGGTTGGCAGCAAAAAATATGTTGACGAAAGACAATAAAATAATCGTAGGTAGGCAGGCAGGTAGGTAGGTTGGAAGGTAGTATGTTACTTATAATTTAGCGGCAAAGATTAAAAGAATAAAAACGCATAATAGAGACACAAACACTATAAATGTATCATTATTACCACAATGTCCAACATTATTTAAAGGCAGTGCAGATGTGCAAAAGGTACACAAAGCAGCCAGGTCACAAACACAGCAGCAACAAAGAGGCACCGATATTTTGGAGGATAGCCCAATAGAAACACATCTATAGACTCAGTACCACTAACGATCTACAGCTTTCAAATGTGTGTCCAAAATCGTGACAGCCAGCGGAAAGAATCTGTTTCTGAGTCTTTTGGTCCTGGCTTGGATCGACCTGTGGTGCCTGCCAGAGGGCAGCAGGTCAAACAGATGGAAGGCAGGATGTGTGCCGTCCTTGGTGATAGCCTGAGCTCTGCTGAGGCAGCGGGAGGCAAAAATGCCCTTCAGGGAGGGGAGAGGGCAGCCGATTTATTTAGTTTTAGCATTTACAAAATTTTTGCAAGTGATCATAACTAAATGTTCTTGCAACTTTTTGTCTCTAACTAGTTGCAAACATTGATGTCTTACACAGACACCGGCATTAGCTTTAGCAACAGATTTACAAATCACACACTTTGTGAGGTTTTGATTTTAAATCTGAACCGTGACTAAATTCAGACCGTCTGCAGGGGTGAAGTAAAAAGACTGATCTGCCTTGTTGACAGCAGGATGTTGAATAGCAAACAAAGCATTTCCCAAAAGCAGATGCACAGAGTAAAAAACAAAGGAAGGATGGAGGAAAGAAAAAAAGCTGTAATCTTGTGTTGTTGGTGAAGATGTGGAATTCCAATTAGGACACTTTAAAGGTGTGGTTGACTGAAAAAACTTTTTTTTAATGATTATTTCTAATTAGATTGGTCCCTCGGAGTGTTTCATGCAGGCTGACCATGAAAATAGTCTCGTACACCTATCTCCTGCATTAGTTTCTGATAGACAACAGACGGCGAAACTCTAGAATTAGAAAATCCTGACAGACCCATGTCACACTGTCACTTAACATTCATGGACTCACCCATCTTGACTCACGACGGGGAAGGCTGCTGCTGGTTTAGCATCCAGCAATTTGCAGAGGACATCTTGACTAGTAGAAGCTAACCATTAGCATTAGCATGATCTTCAAATGGAAGAACTCCTCCAGGTTAGCGGTATTTGTGGAGATAAAACATCCACGTTGCAACTTACTGTTGAGCCCCCTTCAGACAGGCCATGAAAAACGGAAATGTTCCGGACTCTGTCCGTAAGACCTTTGTGTCTGACTACAAACATCCGGATAACGTGTTCCGGAATTTAACCGGACGAAGCCCCTAGTAACAAGTCCGGATTTGTTACGGACAGGGTGGCTGCTTCAGACTGGTGAGGTAGAGTTCCGGACAAGGGGGAGGGGGAGGAGGAGGGGACCGGGGGACGCTGTGCGCACCTAGATAGCTCGCTCCTGTAGCATGCGGCGAACCACGGCAACTCGCCTCCTACGGTACCGCCTAGACGCGCGACGGAGCGCTTCACACCGCTTCAGTGATTCCTTTAACCACTGAGCTTCATCATCCAGGTCTCTTATGCGTCTTCGCGTACGCAGAATTATGCTTAAGCGCCTCGTGATTTTTATCTTGAGAGGCGCTATAGAAATTATATTTTCTTCTTCTTCTTCTTAACATGAGTCCGATCCCCCCGCCCTCCCGCCGCCGTCAGACATCTGGAACTTTTCCCTGCTGTGTGAACGCAGCCGAAAGGACAAGTTCCGGTACAAAAGTGGTGTGTCTGAAAACACAGTTCCGGTTAAAAACCGGATTGAATTGTCCGCAAATGTTCCAGAATGTCTATCTGAAAAGGGCCTTGGAGTTACATTGCTGTTATCCAATCAGAGGCAAGATGTCCAAACATCAGGAAATAATTCCAAAATCTGCCGCTTGAAGCTCAGCTGTGATTGGCTCATTTCTAGTTCCGGAATACCCCCCCCCCCCCCCCCCCCCCAAGCACAACTTGCAAGGCCTTCATTCCTATCAGAGATTGCTGCAAATGTATTGATTAAATGAGCGTTCAGCACCTTTAATACCACGAAGTATGACGTAACCAGTGTTTGCAAAAGAAGCTAATGCTTTGGCTCCACAATTAGACACAAACTTGATAAATCCCATTTTATTCACTCATCAAAAATCCAAACATTAGCCAGCCCTTTACAACATATTTGGGTTTTTACAGTTAATTTTGTTAAACAGAACCCAAAAATAAACGTTCTACTCCATTGCTAACGATTAGCATCACCCAGAGTCCTGCATAGTTATGGTCGTTAACAGAAAACAGATCTGAATGTTTGCTCATTTCCATTATTTTTCTTCATAAGCATGTTCTGTCCCTGCTCTCCATCTTCGCTCTGCCCTTTCTCTTTTGTCGCCGCTGCCTCGTAAGTGGCAGAGGGATTCTTTTCATATCTGGGATTTGTTCTCACTATAAATAGATGAGTGATACACACAGGGGACCTGCTTTCTATCCACACTCGCACTCTTAAATGGACACTCAGGGAGACGAACCAAAACATGGCTAAACACAGCGCTCGTCACTTGTCACACCTCCCTTTTAAATCTACTTTTATGGTAAAGCGTGTCTCTTTGAGTTTTATAAATGGACAAAGCTTGATGTATTATACCAGCTCATCTTAGCCCCCTCAGCACATCTGCTCATGTAAAACCTTAAGAAAGAAAGAAGATCCATTCATGAACTTGTGAAACTTAAGACAAACTTTTTAACAACAGAAGCTTAAAATCAAATCTATTAATACTACAAAATAAAAGTACAAGTATCTGCTTTTAAAATGCGGACTGATGCACAAATAAAAACCGCGAGGTGATCTGTCAGTGTTAAAGGTGTGTGTAGCTGTGTGTGGGTGTGTGTGTGTGCTCTGTTACCTCCTAATGCGCGTGGCTCCACTGCCCTGCCTTGTGCTTTCTCCGAGGTCCTCTTCAGCTACCTGACCTGTTTCCGCTCGCCCTGATTGGCTTGAAAACACACAGAACTCCTCCCAGAGCGCAACCTGACCCAGCAAGGGAGAAGTTAAATGAGTGTTCAGCCACTCTGTGGAAAAGTCTGCTTCTAGTTGTTCATTTCCACCTTCCTTCTGCAAGTTTAACCAGAATTTAGACCAAATAAGCTGTCTTAGGTGGTCGGATCAGACCCCAGGGTTTTCCAGGATCAGCCGCTGACAGCTGGTCTGCTGTGTCCTCTGGTAGTAAAATGAGGAGCATCAAACTGCTTGTAAAGTATTCTAGGCTATGCAAATCCAGCCCACACTGCGTTCTCATTTGCTGGTAAAGAGTCGAAGGGAATTTTACAGGTATTCACCTTCACAGCTGAATTTTAAAAGGTTTTCCAGGACATTGTTCTGCAGCCAGTGCAGCAATACTGGGTTAGGGTAATGGTTAGGGGTTCATAAATTTGGGAATGTATTATACTTTAAAGTTAAAATATGAAACATTTTATTAAAAAGCTATATTTAAAATAAAATATGTCTACGGGACGTTTAGAGGTGTGCAGAATTAATATACAGTTTCTCCTTTAAAAGCTATATTTAAAAAATAAATTTTTATAAAAATAATTATTTCAATTCAATTCAAAAATACTTTATTAATTCCAGAGGGAAATTGATTGCTGTAGTAGCTCAGAATAATAATAATCAAGCCATCAAAGAGTTGTTGTATATTACAATGGCTGTTGGCTGATGCTGGTTCCTTTGTTCTGTTACTACTGCTAGACCTATCAGCGGCATTCGATACAGTTGACCATAACATTCTGTTAACTAGGCTGAAATCTTTTGTTGGAGTCACAGGGACTGCGCTAAATTGGTTTCATGGGCTCGACACACGGGAGGCGACAAACGATCGCGATCAGTGAAATTTGTCGCCGCCGCTTTTATTACCTGAAACACGGGAGGCGATCCGCGGCAGCGGCCAGCTGCAAAAACGTCTACGCATTCTGTTCCATGGCGAAATCGAATCTTCCGTTGTTTTGTTTGGCTGTGTCAGGTTGGAGGGAATCAAGGTTATTTAAGCGGTTCAGCGTTAATAAAGCGGTAGATATGATGTTTCACAAGGTGCTGCTAGAGTTATGTGAAATCTTACTTCTGATTTTACTATATAAAACATAATAATAATCAACTTCTCCATGTTTGCTCGGAGATGTACGGAGCATCCTGTCCGCTCATTGGTCAGTGAATGAAACCTCCGTTGATTGGTCCTCGTCTGAGCGACAGCGATGAAAAGTTGAAAATGTTTCAACTTTCTGGGATTGCGTCACCTGTGCACGACACGTGCACGAGCGCACAATTTCACGCACGTTTTTCGCGTTTCGCTTGGTAGGAGGGAGACCCGCGATTATCACTTTGTCGCGCATGTCTCATTGAAAATGAATGGAGGAGAGGTGATGTCACCTCCCGTGTGTCGAGCCCATCACTCCTATCTGTCTGACAGGAGTTTCAGCATTCACATAGGCGATTGCTCTTCTCCTTTTGTCCCACTCCCCTGGGGAGTTCCCCAGGGCTCCATTCTAGGTCCACTCCACTTTTCTATTTATATGCTGCCACTGGGAAATATCATTGCTAAACACGGCCTACATTATCACATATACGCTGATGACTGTCAAATTTATATGGCTTTAAATCAATTAAGTTCCATTACTCAGCTATCAGAATGTCTCTCAGAAATTAAAACCTGGCTAGCTTCCAATTTCCTGAAGTTCAATGACAATAAGACTGAGGCCATTCTTTTCAAACCAAATCATAATCTGCATAATTCTACTGCTTTTGATCTCTCCCCCCTAAACCTTAATTCATGTGTGACCAGCCTTGGGGTTAAACTGGATGTCGACTTGTCAATGAGTGCACATGTAAATGCCATTGTTCTATCCTGCTTCTTCCAGCTTCGTCGCCTTGTCCGACTAAAGCCCATTCTTAAGAGGCCACACTTAGAATCAGTGATTCGTGCATTTATCACTTCCAGACTCGATTTTTCCACCTCGGTTCTAATTGGTGTAAATGTATCAGTCCTAAATCGTCTGCAGAAAGTCCAGAATGCTGCAGCCAGATTTCTCTCCAATGCAAATAAACGCTGCCACATCACTCCCATTCTGGTGGGTCTACACTGGATCCCTGTGCAGTTTTGAATTCGACACAAAGTTTTAACTTTTACTTACAAAGCCCTGAATGGTTTGGCCCCCTTATACCTCTCTGAGCTGTCCATCCCCCCCCCCCCCCCCCCCCCGGTCACTAAGGTCTGCTGATCATCTATTGCTCAAAGTCCCTAAAATGAGGTATAAAGCTCGTGGGGAGCGTGCGTTCGCCTTTGCTGCTCCCAGACTTTGGAACGCGCTCCCTCTGGTGGTACGCCAGGCTTCTTCACTAGCACAGTTTAAATCCAGCCTGAAGACACATTTTTTTTATTTGGCTTTTGGTCAATGATCGGTCTTTTATGTTGTGACTCTCTTCTGTTTTACTGACTTCTGTTTTTATTGACTTCTATTTTATGGGCTGTTTTATACTTTTGTATTGTTTTCGGGTGTTTCTATTTTATGACAGCTTTTATCTTTGTTTAATGTGTATGTATGTGTATTTTGAATGGTTTTTTAGGTTTAACTCTGTGCAGTGCTTTGGTCAGCTGACATGCTGTTTTTTAATGCGCTTATATAAATAAAATTGGATTGGATTGGTTGAAGCAGCTGGATGATGGCATCTTCAACTCCAACTCCATGGTGATAAGCAAACTGCAGTGTGTCCTGATATGTTCTAGTTTGCTTATTCAGGTGGACCAACAGGAGTCTCTTCAGGACCTTCATGATGTGGGATGTCAGGGCAACCGGTCTGTAGTCGTCATTGACTGATGGGCGAGTTTTCTTTGGAACTGGAACAAGGCAGGATGTCTTCCACAGGACTGGAACCTTCTCCTGGGCCAGGCTGAGGTTGAAGAGGTGCTGCAGAATCCCACAGAGCGGCTCTGCACAGGCCTTCAGTACTCTGGGGCTGACACAATCTGGACCTGCAGCCTCTTTCCTGTTCAGTCTCTCCAGCTGCCTCTTCACCTGACTTCTAGAGACAGATAGGTGGGAGGGGGAGGTAACTGGGGCAGCAGCATCTCCTGACTTGGTTGAAGACAGATTTATAGAACCAGAAGAGTCCATGACTGCGTTAGAGGATAAAAGAGCTGGTGTGTGACAGGAAAATGTTGGATCAGAGGAGGATGGGATGTCTGATTGGCTGGGGACAGGCGAGGAGGATGCTGGGTTTGCTCCTGAACTGAACCTGTTGAAGAACTTGTTCAGTTCATTGGCTGTGTCCAGAACCGCTGCTCCTCCGGATCGAAAGGAGCCAGTTGAGGTGGTTTGGGCATCTGGTCAGGATGCCTCCTGGACGCCTCCCCGGGGAGGTGTTTCGGGCATGTCCTGCCGGCAGAAGGCCCCCGGGTCGACCCAGGACACGTTGGAGAGGTTACATCTCCAATCTGGTCCGGGAACGCCTTGGGGTCCTGCCGGAGGAGCTGGTGGACAAGGCCGGGGAGAGGACGGCCTGGAGCTCCCTAGTTGGGATGCTGCCCCCGCGACCCGGACCCGGATAAGCAGAGGAAGACGACGACGACGGCGGCTGTGTCCAGGCTGCCATCTGTGCAATCCTTCCTCTGCTTGAAGCCTGTAATCTTCTTCATCCCTGACCAGACATCTCTGATATTGTTCCTCAGTAGTTTGTTTTCCAGCTTCTTCCTGTATGCCTCCTTGCTGTCTCTGAACTTGATCTTCAGTTACTTCTATATACTCCTCAGTAATACCCTGTCTCCCTCCTTGAAGGCTCTTTTTTTCTCATTTAGCAGATTCTTCAGTTCACTGGTGATCCAGGGTTTGTTATTAGCGAAGCATCTCACTGTTCTGGTGGGTATGATGTTGTCCACACAGAAGTTTATATAGTCAGTGACACATCCAGTCATGGCATTGACGTCATTTTCATATCCTTGGCCGAGAGTCATCCAATCCGTGGTCTCAAAACAACCCTGCAGGACTTCTTCAGAATCCTGTGACCATTTTCTCACAGTTCTTCTTGTCACAGGTTGCCTCTGAACAAGTGGTTTGTATACTGAGCAGAGAAAAACAAGATTGTGATCTGATTGTCCCAGAGGAGGTCGTCTTGTTTTCTCTGGTGGAGCAGCTGACAAACTGTTGAAATGTTGGAAGTGTAGCAGAGAGTGAGGCATGATTAAAATCACCAGATATAGCCACAAATGCATTGGGGTGCTGGGTTTGTAGCTTAGCAACAACAGAACTGATGGCATCACATGCACTTTCAGCAATGGCTGAAGGTGGAATATAAACGGTTGCCAAGACAACACTGCTGAACTCTCTTGGCAAATAATATGGGCAACCACTTACTGCCAAGAGTTCAACATCTGGGCTGCAAAGACGACATTTCACTGAAACATGACATGGATGGCACCATCTGTTGTTGACAAGCACTGCCACTCCACCTCCTTTTCTTTTCCTGCTCCTCTTCAGGTCTCTGTCTGATCATACAGTCAGAAATCCTGGCAGAGAGACGCTGGAATAGGAGATATGGTCCTGCAGCCACGTCTCAGTAAAACACATAATACTGCACTGCCGATACTCTGGCTGAGTCCTTGAAAGGGCTTGGAGTTAATCCTTCTTGTTGGCCAGTGATCTCACATTGCCCATTATGATCGATGGAAGAGATGGTTTGAATTTCTTCTTTCTCTGTCTCAGTTTTGCTCCCGCTCTGCACCCACGCTTCTTGCAATTTAGCTCATTTGGGATTTGTGGCTTCAGTTGAGGTATTATTTCAGCCTTTCCAATGTAAATCAGCTGCTCCCGATTGTAAACCAGCTTATTGCCATGGTTACGCATCATAACAAATGCTCAAAAGGTGAAAAAATGGCAGTAAGAATCCTCTAAGCTTCACAGCACCAGAAACAGAAAAGTAAAATGTCCAAAAAACACAGCTTTTCTTGAGAAACCAGAAGAAAAAACACCCCAAAAAAGGCAAAACTTACATATAGTCAACAGAGCTACTCCAACATGCAGCACAGTTCCGGAATCGGGCACCACGCTGGGTTTATGTTTACATCTACCAGCCACTAGAGGACACCGTTGCACTAAAACGTCCACTCAGCAAAGCGAGGCTGGGACTGTGTAAATTGGCGGACTTTAAAAATCAAGCAACTGATTCTGAGCTGAACCGATGTTCTACGGTAAACACTGTTGTAAAAAAACACGTAGTGGAAAGTCGTCCTTATCATGTACAATTTGTCACTGATCATGGTGCTGAAACGTGTCAGCAGTGAACCAACATCCCGACAGCTGGAAAGCGTGTTCTGTTGTTGCGATACCACCTCTGAACACTAGAGTTCGCCAGAGTGTTCACCGCTATTGTCCGTGTTATGTATTCATTCTTTAATTGGTCACAAAATGTGGTTAGACTTCTAGGTTTGTCCCTTGTACTCAGCTTGACAAATGAAGTCGTATTTTAACCATTTTAACACAAAGGGATTGCTATGGTCATGGCTGAAAATGTTTTAGTTAAAGTTGGGGAATCCTTCAGCATCCGGGTTTGATCTTTGCAGGATTTTGTCGGAATTTCTCCAAAGAAAAAACAGTTAGAAAAATTATTAGATAAATCAAATTTCATTATGCATCATAAAGCAAAAGGTCCATTTAATATTTTGGTTTAAGGCATTTTGTGCACATTTGTGTTTTTTGATTCTTCACATATCATTTTCTAACAGGTGTTTGTCTCATAAGAGCACGGCCCTCCCAAAGAAAATATTTTATGTAAACATACTGATGCTCTTTATTTGAATATAAAGTGCTACGATAACCTATTGGTCAGTGGGTTTATTTCTCTTTGGTCACATTTATGGTTTAATGACTACTAAACATTCATTGTGCTGACAGACATGTTCCAATCTTGTTAAAATATATATATTTTTTACTTTTAATGTTTTAATAAACTGAAATCTACGATTTAAATGCACATTTTTATATACATCTCAAGTTAAACAGAAAACGTATAACTCCATTTGCACCATTCAAGTTGTCTTCAATAATAATGAGTCAAACCAAGACTTTGCCTTTTAAAGTGAAAAACTTGTCTGTGTTTAACCAAATGAACATATTTTAAATTAAATGGCGTTAAATTACTTTCTGTATATGTTTTGTTATTTGTAGTTTTATTGCATCACTTTACTGGCATTTTCAGGATGGCCAACTTTTACAAAAATCTTGGAGTGATAAGAAAAAGTTATATTAAGGCAGATTAAATTTTTCCGATTCTAAATGGATGCTGTCGTCACAGTTTTCTATGTAAACAACCCACAAAGAGTGTTTATTAGACTAATAATAATTTTATATCTGACATGTTTGAATTGAAACTACAAAATGACGTTGTTAAAATAAATTTATTTTATATTACCTGATAAACAAATATATTTTTAGGAAATAACTCTGATGGAATATATGTAGTTTTGCCTTCCAGCCGCCAGAGGGTGTATGATCTGCTATGTTTGTAGCGCTGTTAGCTAGCTGCACCTGCTGCTTGTTAAACACAAATAATTTAAATATATTACTTTTAGTAGTGAAGTGTAAAGGCAAATACGTTCCTGCTGTCTCGTTATTTATACGATGCTGTTGATGATGTTTAAAAATCGTAACTTCAGGTGGTATGTTTTATTTTGAAGGAATTGACAGGTTTAGCTAACGCTGTAGTTACCCCTTTTCTCCACAAGAGGGCGGAAATATCCTTAGTTTTTGAAAGTTTATTGAGTTTTAGTAGGGAAATAGTTTATAGAGGTGAATTAATTCGGGCTTTTCTGTTGTCTAGACTACCTTGTTAAATTTATTTCGAATGAATCTACAGATTTAGTGTACTAAAGCTGTAGTAACCACTTTCTCTTCATCGTAAGACAAATACATATTCTCAAAACCCAGATAGTAAAATATGGTTCTTATGTTTCCAACTGACTTCTCCTCCTTTTTTCCTAATACTAATATTAACAAAAACGTTTCATTTATTTTCTCTTTTTTGCAGCTTCTTTGAGATAAGGAGTATAAAATGTCTAAATAATTTAAAAGAAAATAGTTTAGTTCCACCTTGTCGCCACGAGAGGGCGTCAACTCCTCGCTCATTTAAGTTCAATTTAAAACTGAACTTGGATCGCTTGTAACTAGAAGAAAGTGTATAGTAGCTCAGATTACTTACCTTGGACAATGGGGGTGTGGCGTGAGAGCGTTTGGAGACCAAGACAGTCAAATGCGTGAGAGGCAGTCGCGTTTTAGTGTACGTGTCAAAAAGTTGCAGTAACAGTTGTTCGACACGTGATGGCGGCAGCACTTCGTTTGTTTCCAAAGACAAAAGCAGAAGAAGAAAGCAGTGAGGTTCACACTCCGGATCGGTAGGTGGCGGTAGTGCACCTCACGTTTCTCGTAGACCTCCATAAAACCACAAATAAAAGAAGAACCTGTTAGTTTTTGTAATACTGAGAAAACAAAACAGCGGAAAATGCAAATATGTCCTTGCAGTCTAAAATGTATTTAGTCGCAGAAAAGCTACGTGGCTAACAGCTGACGGAATGAGCGATGGAAACGCTGTTAGCTTCTAGTGTTCTGCAGAGCTTCTTCTGAAAGCTGCACCATGATTCCCGTATCGCTGCTGGTGTGTGTGATGGGAGGCTGGTGTGCCATTTATCTAGCTGACACACTGTTCCGGGTGAATAATTCATATTCTCTTACTTGATTTAACAACGTTTCACATAAAAGTAGAAGATTAATTCAAAACAGCAGACATAGAAATACCTTTTGTTTTAGCTAACAGTAGCATCGGGCAGCTAGCTACATCAACGCTAGTTTATAGCTGCTTTAGCTTTAAATTAAACCAGACATCTGCAGCTGTGGTGTTTTAAGCCCAATGCAGGAAAACGTAAAGCCATTTCGTTACATTTACTAGTTCTTTCTTGTCTTCCACAATACAAAACAAAGGGCAGTATATGATTTTTTTATGATTTAGGCTACAAGTTAGCATCATAACATGCACTGTAACCAATGTTTAGCTCGTTTGTTCAGCAAAAAATAGCTGAAATCTTTATTTAATTTAACTTGTACAATTCAAGTGAACTTGGTTCTTTTAACTTAAAATCAAAATAATCAAATTGGAGAAAAACATTGATCGAAAACAGGTTTACAAGTTTGATTCTGTTTTGAATTTTCCCTTTTTAATCACAGTTATTAAATATAACATTCGTTTACACACGTGGAGTACATGTCAAATGAAATTCTTGTGAAATGTATCATTTGGCTACGTAAAATACGGAAAAAACATATAAATGTATTTAAAATGCAAGCTTAACAGGAAAAGAAAGCAAGGAAAATGCATTCCTTTGAGTAGCTATAGGGATTTAAAAAAGAAAAGTACCCATTTATTGCACATATAGTGAAATAGAAAAATTCTCAGATTTTACCTTTTTTCTAGCTTATAAAGTTCTAATCTGTTGTAGATTGTGTTATTGATCAAACATTATTTAAGAAATTAATTCCAATAGATTTGGGTTGAAAATATTAAAATAAAAATAAACCTACAAAAATAACAAATTTAATAATAAAGGAAATTTATGGAACTGAATAAATTTGCAGCAAAATCTTGTTATACTGTGGTATAATTTTCTGAGGTTATCATTTGAAAAAAAAATCTCAAGATAAAAAGATAATGTTGTGATTTTTTTTTATCCTGAAGTCCTCCATCACGCACCGGGTCAGCTATGAATCCTGGCTCGCCAGTCGAGGTCTGATGGTGTCTCCTTTCCATGTGAGATGGCAGACCACCATGTTCAATCGGCTGTTTGCCTACTGTGCCCGAATCAACCCCCGCGCCCTTTATCTGTGGTGAGGAAACGTGACACATTAGTTGTTTTTCGCATGAAGTTTTTATCTCTATGGCTTCATGAATTCCAGGTAATTGACTAAACTAATTTTGGTTGTTTCTGTGTTTCCAAGGTTCAACAGTGGTCTTGTGTTTGGTGTCGCAGCCATGGTGGGCTCGGTGGTTCTGTTGATAAAAACGCTGCAGCAAACATACGCGCAGATGACCACCAGCAACCCTCGGATAGGAGGCCAGCAGGTGCTGCAGGTGGTGGTACGTAGACTGTTGTTATCCTTCAGCTGAGGCTTTAGTCACCTAAACCTCCTAGAGAGGACTTTGATTTGGCAGGAAAAAAAAACTATTATAAGGAGTCTTTTTTCTTCATTTCTTTTATGTGAGGCATATTTCCTTTGAGGTTCTGCAGGTGATTCATGGAGGCTATTACCAGGCCATTTATATCAGAAAGTTAATTTTAGAGGAGCAGAAAATGTTTTGCACCACCAGCAAGAGAATTAGATCTCACAGATACGTCTTTTTTATTGAAATTGTGAAGAGGAAGTTTCAAAAATAGTCCAAAATCAGGCTCTATGTGTCCCTTGGATGTCCTGTAAATGCATCAGATGTTCTTTTTATCCGATATCTGTGTCTTCTTTTCATCCTCTCGTGTCTTCCCAGGTCCCAGGTGTCAATCTGCCCACCAGTCAGCTGGCCTACTTCTTCATCGCACTGCTTCTCAGTGGAGTGATACACGAACTGGGCCACGCTGTGGCAGCACTGAGGTAAACACACACTCATCCGCCAAGACCGTGTGTTACCGAGACAGCCAGCAGGGTGTGCAGCGTTCACAAGGCTGCTTTAGGGTTGATGGAACCGTTTCCCGAGACATTTCAGCTAAATGTTTAGCATTTAAATGTTAACCTGAACGGCTTTCTAAGCGTTGAGTGGGTCTCCACCTTTTAGATGACGAGCAGCCTGCAGACGTTAATGTTCTCATCGAGGACCGGAACTGATAGTTTGGCTTTTGGGAGTTAAAAACTAAGAATATAACAAGCTTGTGGATAAATTCTTGTATCCGTTACACTAAGCAGGGCTCCAGGGAGTTTTTGCTATTCGTTCATCTCAATAAAAACTTAAAGAGCAAGTCACCCCCAAATCAACTTTTTGTCTGATAAACTACATAAATGTGTGTCTAATGGCGCTGCAGACACGTGTAGTCAATAGTTTAGCACTTTAGTGCATTTTAGTTAAAATTAAAAATTTCTGCCTAAAACTGTCAGTGTTGTGTTGTTGTCAGGTAAAACCTCTGCACTACATTTGAATTTAAATCTGCCATCGCTATTGGCTAAGAGGTACCCTAGAACGTTAGCTGGTACCATATGATGTCACAATGTCGTTGTGAGCCTGTGTGTGTGTATTTGTTAGCGGCTCCGCCCTCTCGGTCTGCTAGGCAACAGCATTTGTTGCATTTTTCAAACAGGAAGTGGGAGTGGAGTAATACTCTGGTAGGGGGTAGGGTTGTCACGGTGTGAAAATGTAACCTCACGGTTATTGTGACCAAAATTATCACAGTTTTCGGTATTATTGCGGTATTTTTTTTAAACGTTACTTTTTCAGACAACTAAATAAACCCTGTATATCAGGAAAATATTGTCCTCAGTTTGTGTCTAAATTTTGCCTAAAATTTGTTATTTTTAGTCTTTAAAGAGCAAGTCACACCCTACTAGGGTTGTCACGGTAACCGGTGTAATGGTAAACCCTGGTAAAAAAGTTGACAATAATAATAATCGTCTTGTTTTTTAAAAAATATATTATCGGTGGGTTTACCGTGGCTGCGGTGTAGGCGCGGTGACCCTTACCAGCCACCGTATCATCTGCTGAAGTTGCCGGCGGCACATGCGCACTTTAACGTTTACAACCAAAACTTTCTTGACGCTAAAGCTGAAATAATGGCCAAAGGAGGAGACGGCAGCGCTCAGGTCATTTATTACCCCTCAAAGAAGACAAAGTGGGAAGTACGGGCATGTTTTGGGTATTTGAAGAATGCCGAGGGACAGTTGATAGAAGACGGCTATCCTGTTTGCAGCACGAGCAGAAAAAGTGTCTGTGAAAGGCAGCAACGCTTCGAATCTCATGACACATCTGCATGACCATCACCCACAACTCTACAGTCAACGCAAGGCAAGCTAACGTTAGCGTTTTAGCTAAAATGCGTGATCCGAGGATTTGGGTTGAGAGAAAATGCAACGAGTCGCTATATAAAGCAGCTGCAGCGCCGCTACCTGCATATAAACCGTGTCGCGGACACCGCCATGTTGAAATGACGCTATGCATTACGGGGCTCCCAGGGGCAGATAAGAGTTGGTTTCTCTCCGAGAATAATTATGAATTTAACATGATTACAGCCTGATGACATTTTCCCACATCTGCAAAGCTCACTGCAAGGACTCAAACCGAGGACAATATTTTCCTGATATAGGGTTTATTACTCAAGTAAGGGTAAAAAAGTATCTGATTAGAAGTTACTTGAGTACTGAGTATCATCTGATCTAATATTTTTAAATGATGACATCAAACAGACAAAAAATAAGAAGTTATGGGCAAATATTGGTATTTTAAAGAACAAGTCACCCCCTACCAGATTCTTACTCAACTCCCATTTCCTGTTTGAAAAATGCAACAAAGGCTGTGGCCTAGCAGACCGAGAGGGCAGAGCTGCTAACAACACACACACACACACACACACACACACACACACACACACACACACACACACACACACACACACAACATTGTGACATCATAATGTACCATCTAACATCATAGTATACCTCTTAGCCAATAGCGATGGCAGATTTAAATTCAAATGCAGTGCCGTTTTTACCTGACGATGGTGCATCACTGACAGTTTTAGGCAGAATATTTAAATTTGAACTAAGATGCACTAAAGTGTCGAATTATTGACTTCACATGTCTACAGCACGATTAGACACTCATTAATTTAGTTTATGAGCAAAAAAAGTTTATTTGGAGTGACTTGCTCTTTAAATATCGGCATAACACTTCAGTCTCGGCTCTTGTTGATTACCCGATAGTTCATGCGAAAACTCCAGGAAGCCATCGTGAAAGTGTGAAATGTTTCTCTTTCTGCAGGGAACAAGTGAGAGTGAACGGTTTCGGGATGTTCGTGTTTGTGTTGTACCCTGGAGCATTCGTGGACCTCTTCACCACCCATCTGAACCTCGTGTCGCCCACTCAGCAGCTCCGCATCTTCTGTGCAGGTGAACCTCCTTTCCTTTTGCATCACCCTTTACTGCAGCCTGAATATTTGCCAGCTTATGCAATCACAACTATTAATCACAATTATAAGCATTTTCTTCCGGCTGTGAAGGTCACTTGGGGGAATTTACTGCTGAGCACCAGACAGCTGCATCTCATCAAATCAATTCACTAGCAATTAGGGAAATTGCTGCTTGATAAATTGATTGGTGGTACAGGCAGTTATTTCTGCATGAATGTGGCTGATGTGACTTTAGGAGTAGGTGGCAGTGAGCGACTCGGGAAATATTTTAGTTTTTGATTAGAAATTAGTAAAGATGATTGTGTGAAAATGCTTAATCTGCGCCAGTTCCCCCTGAAACAGGAATAACTCTAAAGGCCTAACCCTAGCTGGCAGCCTGGAAAGCCATCCTGTATATGTGAATGCATAGTCTGGCCATGACCCATAGACAGATCTCAGTTGTGAGGCGGGACCTACGGTTGTCTTTCAAACTATCAGTGCTTTTGGACAACAAACAACGTGACTTAGTGTTACGTTTGTCAGTCAACGGGGCCGTCCTCCATACACCGTTGAAGAAGAGTCCAGCAGTACCAAGTACCTCCATCTGCTCTTGACTCAAAGAAAAGCCCCAGTCTAAATAGTCCAAAGTTGATGCCAAAGCAGTCGCCATCTCAGTTTTGCTCAGTCGCAGTAACATCCCGCCCAACAAACCAACAGAGCGCTGTGATTGGCCTAACACAAGACTGGTAGGCTGCCGAGGTTCCAGTGGAGCATGGCTAGTGGGGGCTGCATGACCAAAAAATGTTTTAAGTCGACAGTCAAGTAAAGAAAATCGAGTCGACTTTGACTAGTCGTTGATGACGTCATACACCTGAAGCGGTTGGTTCGCTGGAGTTTTTGACAATTAAAATTGCGCCCACATTTTCTAAGTTAAACACGTCTCTTTTAACAACGGTAGTTTCTGCATTTTTACTGCTCCTCTTCAGCCCTCTCCCCCCTCCCCCTTCTTCAGCCCTCTCTCCCCTCTCCCTGCTTCAGCCCTCTCCCCCCTCCCCCTGCTTCAGCCCTCTCCCCCTCCCCCTGCGCAGTGGCCACAAACTCACTGATGCGCCTGCAGCCTCTCAGAGTTCCTGCTGCTCTAAACATTAAAATAATTATTTCATTTTCTGTTCCTCACTTCTGATTAACTTCAGTGGTTTCTGTTTGTTGCAACCACCAGGTACAAAAACTAACTTGTTTTTATTTGACTACTGTAAATCCTCTTAATATTGGCCTGTATTCAATTAATGACGGGGTATCACATTTTCGTCGGTGTCGGAGTCGGCGGAGGTGAATAATGGCCGTTTTTTTTATTGTGGCCGGGTGGAATGTGTTAACAGGCAAGTACCACAGGGGGGCGTTTGTGTCATCCGTCTCACTTTTGATTTGCCAATGATAGACCGCGAGGGTAACTTTAACCATGGCAGGTGCGGAGCCGAAGAGGAGGCAAAAATTTGATATCAAGTTCAAAGAGAACGTGCTGATTATGCTGCAGAACACTCTGGGGAGCAAGCTGCCAAACGTTTTAACATCGACCCATCAAACTGGATGAGGATTAAACTAATTAATCAATTTCCCTCTGGGATTAATAAAGTATTTTTGAATTGAATTGAATTTGAATTTGAATTAAATTGAATTGAAACTGAATTGGATTACCGGTAATTTATTTTTTACTTTAAACTGGACAAAGATTGAATTGAATTTGAGTTTTTTTTTTTGTTTTTTTTTTTACCTCAACCCAAACGAGACGAAACGATTCAACTTTGAAGTGGTAAGGTGGCTGTTGCCTTTTCTAATACCGGTATTTAATGACGTTTAAAATGTGGTACAGGTATGTTTGCTATTGTTTTGTTACAATACAGTATTTCCCTACTGTAATTTAGCCTTGTTGTTAATGTTTTATATGCAAACTGTACTACGTTATGGTAAATGTACATTTTCAATAAATGAACCTAGTATTTCATAGGTTCAAATAGACACACCCCGTTTTTATTCATTCTACTGGTAGTTCATTTTGCTCAAATAGAAATTGAGGCCTGCCTCTAACTCTGGCCCTCCTTCCAATAAAGGCCTGGAGCTTGATAAGCTTGAATAAAATACAGGCCCGGGCCTGTATTAGAGGATTTACGGTATTTTCTGTCCTGTCTGTTTATTATCTTCCTGCATCTCCTCTCAATCCTAAAGAAAAACTGCTACCTGGGTTCATATCTATTCACCTTATGAGTTACCTTTGAACTGCAGTTCTAAAAGATCTACCGACCGCAAAAACTGCAGAGTGTGCGCCGGTCGCACCAGTGAGGTGAAGTCACAGGAGGACAAAACAGGTGATGCGCCTCGCTCCACAGCAGCGAAACGCATCAGGCACAAATAAAAGACAGAAAACATAAAAGGAAATGAGCCGACATGAGCGATCGCGTGTTAAATTAGTTTTTGAGGTGACGACACCTAATTTGATAATGTTACTGTGGCCGTGCTCAGGACGCAGATGTCTGGAGCGCGTCAACAATCAGAGCTTTGCATGTGAAAGCTGGTTAAGGTTAGGATGGGGGTGAGGGGACGGTTAAATTGCAAGAGGGTAAAGGTCACAATTTGGTCAAATGTCCGTTTTACCGCGGGCGTCCGATACCGACGTTCTGGCACAGCGTGTCGCCTCCCGACGCACAGGGGCTCATCACCTGCTGTCTTTTCCGAGGACTGCATCTTGTCACTCATTATCACGTGACAGCGACTAGTCGATGAAGGCATAAAAAGTCACTACAGAGCAGTGAAGTCGACTAGTCGACAAGTTGATACAACCCTTAGTGGCTAGACCGACATGAAAAGCAAAATCATTCAGCAACCGTCTGTCTAGTAGTGTTGTCAAAAAAATCGATACCTAGATATAAATCGATACTAAAAGTGGTATCTAAATTAGATATTCCATCCCTGTGGTATCGATATTATGGACTATTATACACAGCCTTCTTCAAGTACACCGACACGCATGACAGCCAGATGCCGTAAAGCAGCCTCCGCCTCCCAGACAAACAGAAGAAGAAGACGCCGCATGGATACATTGCAATTTCCCACGCGAGTTGTGTCTCCGATCCAAGTTTTGTCTGCCAAATAAATAAACAAAAACATAAACAGCGAATTTGGGAGGCGCGTCACAGCCCTACTTAATTAGCATACCAAGTCCGACACGTAGTTGTATATTCACGCTTATGTGCTTAAAGGAAACTCCCGTTTATTGCAACCCAGACTTAATTTCTAGCATGCAGTACGTTTGTTTACTCTCGCTGACAACTTTGGTGCTACTTGGATTCCCCAGGGTATTTACCGTAGATCCATCGGCGAATCGCCGTCAGCGTATATCCATATAACGGGTGCGGACGGGCACCCGTGGTGCAGCCTCGAAATAAAACATTATCTGCACCAAAACATCTCAATGTCGAAAGGTTTTGTTAGGAATCATTAACGTGATTCCCCTGTTCGTTTGGAGCGGTTCTGGGATTTCTAGGCGTAAACAGACTAGCCGCGGCTAATTAACCGGCGCTTTTAATGACGTCACTGCCGTGCGCCAATCTGTTTTTATTAAGATTACCGGTAGATGTACCTTTGTTCTACTGTGGAGAAATTAGTTTTCTCCCTTTATTGACCAACAGAGTTGTTCAAAAGTACAGAACAAAACATATGGCATTACAGCTTATGACAAAAATGCACCTTAAACAGAGTTTAGGCAGCAAAACATCACTCTGCAAATAGTGTATATATAGTGAGACAATTCATGATTTAAAGTGTTAACTTTCGCCAGTTTTTGTATGCACGTTTTAAAAAATGCTGATACTTGAAAGGTTTAAGCACTTTATACACTTAATTCTTAACATTTAATTTTTGCAATATAAATTGAGGAATGTTATTTTTTGAATAAACCTGTTCAATAAATTGGTGTTTTTAAATTGTATCGAAATCGAGTATCGAGGTTTTTTTTCCAAGTATCAAATCAAGTTTGAAATTTTAGTATCGTGACAACCCTACTGTCTAGACTTCTAACTGGGGGGATTTGTTTTCAGATATTAGTTATTGTTGTGTTGGTCTTCTCTGGAAAACAGTAAATCATACTGTAAGGTGATATTAATGAATGAAGCCCAGATTATTGTTTGCTTTAACATGATGGGGTTTACATACGTGGAGATATCTTGAAAAAGCGACCAGGTCATGAAATTTTAGCTGCAGTTACGTGGAATCTGATTTACAGTGGGACTGTTGTTTTATCGGTGGCTAATGCAGGAAATGTGGGTCGTTTCACGTTCAGCCTGCATGTGAAACTCGGAGTGACTGATTGTAGTGCTTCCTGTCCTCTCTACAATCACCCTTATCTTGTAAAAGTCTGAACGCAGGACTCCGCTCGGAAGTTGTAAATGACCGTACTTTTATTTGCTGTCTGCGTCCCCCAGAAGATCCTCCTTGACTCTAGTGAAAATAATCCCTCTCAAGCTCTCTGACAAGTAAATAACAGCCAACAGCGAGACGTCGAGACTCATGATTGAGTGAAGTGAAGGAGGATGCTATTCCTTTCAGGGGAGTGGTGATGTTTATGTTTATAATGTTGTTTGTGTTCACCAAGAGGGATGTCTGAGAAAACGTGATGATTTGTATCCAAACGAAAATAAAAAACACTAAATAGCTTGTTTACCACCTCAGATTATTCATACACAAATGCCTTTTTCTGTCAAACAGCAAAGAAAATTCACTTATGATACGTTTCTGTGAAATGTTATTGTTCCGTAGCCTTGAAATTCCTCCTGATCCGGAAAATTCATTCCCTAAAAGCCGTGCCTCTACCTCATCAGACCAGGGAACTTCTCCTCCTGTGGTTTTGAGTCTTGTTGCATAAATAAAATTGTATAGATGGCTAAATTTAGCTAGCAGCGGTTAGTTTTCACCACAACGTCCTACAGACAGAATGTATGTCGGTCACAGCTGCATCCAGCATATAGACCTGCTGATGCGCTGGTGCTTTACTGGAATCAGGGCGGCTGGGAGAAAATAAACCTAAAGAGAAGTGTTCTTTAGGTTTTCCTGCTTAATTAATGATGGTATTTTAAACTAGTGGTTGAAACCTGGAACCTGATCCAGGATCAGGTTTTATTGAGCGTTTAGGCCCCCCAGGGGGGCTGTGGCTACTAACACTGGCAGTGTGTGAATGTGAGCGTGCATGAAGGCGTCTTTTAGTGTCCTAAAAAGCGCTATATAAGTTTGATTTATTATTATTATTTAGTGTGCTCTAATGATGAACTAAATATTTTAGTTATAAGTATGTGTTATTGTACGCATATAAGATATGTCAAATGTCTTAGAGATTTTATTAAATTCTTACAATTTAGTTCTTGTTTCAAGTTTTTCTTGTTAAATGTAGAAAACTGTATTTTAAAGTGGTGAAATTGGCCAAATAAATGGAATAAAATAAATAAAATGAATGGAATAAATGCAGTAAATCATTTAAATAATTAGATACTTTGGTTGGTGTGGTTTCACCCGATCCACACTGCACAGAAAAGCAGGAAAACCTAAAGGACACTTCTCTTTTGGTGTGGTTTCTCCCAGCCGCCCTGATTCCATCATCATCCAACTGTGGACCCACCACCCGCAGGAGGGACATGAAGGGTCCAGTGCAGTGTGGATCGGGTGGCAGACCAAGGCGGGAGCCTTGGCGGTCCGATCCACGGACAAGAAAACTGGTTTTTGGGACATGGAATGTCACCTCGCTGGCGGGGAAGGAGCAGGAGCTTGTGGCAGAGGTTGAGCGGTACCGCTATATATAGTCGGACTCACCTCGACACATAGCATCGGCTCTGGAACCCAAGTCCTTGAGAGGGGTTGGACACTCTCCTTTGCTGGAGTTGCTCTGGGTGAGAGGTAGAGGGCTGGGGTTGGCTTTTTGTTAGCCCCAAGACTCTCTGCCTGTGTGTTGGGGTTTATCCCGGGGGACGAGAGGGTAGCTTCCCTGCGCCTTCGGGTCAGGGAACGGGTCCTGACTGTTGTTTGTGCTTATGGTTCAAATATCAGTTCAGAGTACCCACCCTTTTTGGAGTCCCTGGGACGAGTGCTAGATAGTGCTCCATCAGGGGACTCCATTGTCCAGCTGGGGGAATTCAGGGCTCACGTGGGCAATGACAGCTTGACCTGGAGGGGTGTGATTGGGAGGAACGGCCTGCCTGATCTGAACTCAAGTGGTGTTTCGTTATTGGACTTCTGTGCAAGCCGCAGTTTGGCCATAACGCACACCTTGTTCGAACATAAGGATGCCCATTGGTACACTTGGTACCAGGGCAGCCTAGGTTGCTGGACGATGATAGACTTTGTAGTCGTATCAACTGACCTGCGGCCGTATGTTTTGGACACCCGAGTGAAGAGAGGAACGGAGCTGTCAACTGATCACCACCTGGTGGTGAGTTGGATCAGATGGCAGGGGAAGATGCCGCGTAGACCTGGCAGACCCTAACACATAGTGAGGGTCTGCTGGGAACGCCTGGCAGAAGAACCTGTTATGACGGTCTTCAACTCCCACCTCCGGCAGAGCTTTGACCGCGTCCCGAGAGCAGTGGGGGACATTGACTTCGAGTGGGCCTGGTTCCACTCTGCGATTGTTGAGGCGGCTGTTGCTAGTTGTAGTCGCAAGGTGGCCGGTGCCAGTCGTGGTGGCAACCCCCGTACCCACTGGTGGACACCAGAGGTTCAGGGAGCCGTCAGGCTGAAGGAGGCCTACAGGGCATGGCTGGTCTGTGGGTCTCCGGAGGCAGCAGACAGGTACTGGATAGCCAAGCGGAGTGCAGCAGTGGCAGATGCCGAGGCAAAATCTCGGGTGTGGGAGGAGTTTGGTGAGGCCATGGAGAAAGACTTTCGATCAGCTCCAAAGAGGTTCTGGCAAACTGTCCGGTGCCTCAGGAGAGGAAGGCAGCAACTCGCTCACACTGTTTACAGTGGGGATGGGGAGCTGCTGACGTCAACTGAGGCTATAGTCGGACGGTGGAAGGAATACTTTGAGGAGCTCCTCAATCCCACCTATGCACATTCCGAGGAGGAACCAGAGCCGGGAGACCTGGGGATGGACTGTCCAATCTCTGGGGCAGAAGTTGCTGAGGTAGTCAAACAACTACACAGTGGCGGAGCCCCGGGGGCGGATGAGGTTCATCCTAGGTATCTCAAGGCTATGGATGTTGTAGGGCTGTCATGGTTGACACGTCTCTGCAACATTGCGTGGTCATCGGGGGCAGTTCCTGTGGAGTGGCAGACTGGGGTGGTGGTCCCCATCTTTAAGGAGGGTGACCTGAGGGTGTGTTCCAACTATAGGGGGATCACACTCCTCAGCCTCCCTAGAAAGGTCTACTCCAAGGTACTAGAGAGGAGGGTCCGATCAATAGTTGAATCTCAGATTGAGGAGGAGCAATGTGGTTTTCGTCCTGGCCGTGGAACTGTGGACCAGCTCTATACCCTTGCAAGGGTGATGGAGGGGGCTTGGGAGTTTGCCCAACCAATCCACATGTGTTTTGTGGATTTGGAGAAGGCTTATGACTGTGTCCCCAGGGGCACCCTGTGGGGGACGCTCCAGGAGTATGGGGTGGGTGGCTTTCTGTTAAGGGCCATTCAGTCCCTTTACCAGAGGAGCGTGAGTTTGGTCCGCATAGCCGGTAGTAAGTCGGACCTGTTCCCGGTGAGGGTTGGACTCCGCTAGGGCTGCCCTTGGTCACCGGTTCTGTTCATAACCTTTATGGACAGAATTTCTAGGTGCAGCCGTGGTGTGGAGTGTGTCGAGTTTGGTGGCAGGAGAATCTTGTCTCTGCTTTTTGCGGATGATGTGGTCCTCCTAGCTTCATCCAGCTCTGACCTTCAGCTCTTGCTGGGTAGGTTCGCGGCTGAGTGTGAAGTGGCTGGGATGAGGATCAGCACCTCCAAATCTGAGACCATGGTTCTCGAACGGAAAAGGGTGGCTTGCCAAATCCGGGTCGGCGGAGAGGTCCTACCTCAAGTGGAGGAGTTTAAGTATCTCGGGGTCTTGTTCACGAGTGAGGGTAGGATAGATTGGGAGATCGACAGGCGGATTGGTTCAGCATCTGTAGTGATGCGGACGCTGAGCCGATCTGCCGTGGTGAAGAGGGAGCTGAGCCAGAAAGCCAGACTCTTGATTTACCGGTCGATCTACGTCTCAATCCTCACCTATGGTCATGAGCTTTGGGTAATGACCGAAAGAACGAGATCGCGGATTCAAGCGGCCGAAATGAATTTCCTCCGTAGGGTGGCCGGGCTCAGCCTTAGAGATAGGGTGAGGAGCTCGGACATTCGGGAGGGACTCTGAGTAGAACCGCTGCTCCTCCGGATCGAAAGGAGCCAGTTGAGGTGTTTTGGGCATCTGGTCAGGATGCCTCCTGGACGCCTCCCCGGGGAGGTGTTTCGGGCATGTCCTGCCGGCAGGAGGCCCCCGGGTTGACCCAGGACACGTTGGAGTGGTTACATCTCCAATCTGGTCCGGGAACGCCTTGGGGTCCTGCCGGAGGAACTGGTGGAGTTGGCTGGGGAGAGGACGGTCTGGAGCTCCCTAGTTGGGATGCTGCCCCCGCGACCCGGACCCGGATAAGCGGAGGAAGACGACGACGATGAGATACTTTGGTTTTTGAGATACCTTAAAACCAAAATCTGCAACTTTTTCATTCATATTTTAAATAGTTTTCTTGAGCCAGTATGTGCTCAAATGACCCTTTACAAGTTTAACGAAAGGCCACTGAGACCCCCTCTGCCCTTTGTGGTCAGAATGTTGCATTTGCAACTTCAGAGTGCCGGGCTGCCACCTGTGGGAAAATTCAGCTGACATACCTGACACCATGCTTGTTCCAGCATGTTTTAGAGCATAAACACAGCTGCTGTGTTTGATTTAGTGATGAATCGCACCTGTAGACACTACGGAAGGCTGAGGAGACATTTCAGATGTTAGATTATGGTGTTTCACTTTTGCTTTGACTACAGATGATTAATAGTGGACATTAGGGGGTGCCAAAGGCAAGCACTGTCAATGAGCTTGGAGTTTTTCTCTGAGGTCGCCTCCCTAGAGGCAGAAAAACATCTTAGCCCCTACAGTTTTATGATCATTATTCTCACATTATGCTGTTTTTGCACATGTGCAAAACAAACAAACAAACAAAAATAAATAAATATGTGTGTGTGTGTGTGTATATATATATATATATATATATATATATATATATATATATATATATAAATTAAAGGCTTACTTGTCCAGAAGAAATGTCACCAACTCTACGTCTTTCTGGGTTCTACCACAAACATGCGTACGCTCTGTGATTGACATCTGTATGTAAGCAGATGGCTAATGCTATTGGCTAATGCTGAGCTACGCACAAATCCAATTGCATGGGGTTCTATGGGACGAGAGCAGGCCTAGCAATAAAAGGTATACATATTCACTACATTAGATCACAGTAAAGGTTAAGGCTGACTTTTACAGGTGTCTGAAAAACGATACATAATTCCTGAAAAGGGGAAATCTCTTGATTGCAGCTTTAATGTACCATTTATTTTTCATTTGACTTAGCAAACTATTAAAAATGAACAAAAAAATACTGTTTTCTCTCTCCAGGTGTGTGGCACAATTTAGTTCTGTGCGTGGCAGCGCTGGCCTTCCTCTTCCTGTTACCTGTCTTGCTGTTTCCCGCGTACACCACTGGAGCTGGAGCACTGGTCACCGAGGTTGTCCAGGTCAGTTCTGTTGGTGCTTCATCAGTCACAGGGGTCTTTGTGTGGAGAATTGGGTGAAAAGTAGATGCAGTCAAGCTGATAACTACTGAGTTCAAAGATAAAGTTTCTCTTTATGTCCGCTCATTGGTCAGTGAATGAAACCTCCGTTGATTGGTCCTCGTCCGAGCGACAGCGATGAAAAGTAGAAAATGTTTCAACTTTCTGGGTTTGCGTCGCTGGGTCGCCTGTGCACGATACGTGCACGAGCGCAAAATTTCACACGCACGTTTTTCGCGTTTCGCTTAGTAGGAGGGAGACCCGCGATTATCGCATTGTCGCGCATGTCTCATTGAAAATGAATGGAGGAAAGGCGACGTAGCCTCCCGTGTGTCGAGCCCATTAGACGTAAATCAACCCAGAGTCTCGCCGGGCCACGACCGTTGGAGGTAAATCGTGCTCATCATTCTTGGGGGAGTTTCAAAAGTGTCTTAAAATGACGGTCTTCAGTTTCCTCGTGTTTTTTGCTTGTTTTTCTCCTGATTGGTTCAAAGGTGAAGGTCACACTGAGGTGTTGTCCTGAGCAGCGTTTACACTCAGGTTTCTGATATTAGTATTTCCTGTTTTCTTGTATTATACTAAAAAACTTAATGAGTAAACATTAAATAATCCTTAAGAAGCCTCTGTTTGCTGTTTGTGTTCATAAGTAAAACTATTTCTGTGCACACCCTCTTCTAAAGTCTCCTAATATCTGAGGTGTGGAGGATTGAGTCCAACTCTGATGTCTTGTGACGTTTGTCCTCATTTGTCCTCTTTTTGGTCCAGGGTTCTGCAGCTGACGGACCCAGGGGTCTGTCAGTCGGGGACATCGTGACAGGGCTGGAGAGCTGTCCCGTCAGGGGAGTAGAGGACTGGTCCAACTGCCTGTCTCACCTCTCCCATGTGCAGCAGACAGGATACTGTGTTCCGCTCTCCAGCCTGCAGCCCAGCTGGGCTCATGGACGACGTGAGTGAACGCTCGTCCAAAACCAAACAGAAGAACGCTTCTAACATCTGATCAATAAAAAAACAGTCTCACATGTTGAATTAGTTCCTGTCAATTTTTTACATCACCAATAAGACCCCTGATTGGTCTGTATGTGAGCGATGAGCTCAGCAACTGGCCAATCAGAGCTCAAGCTGCTTTTCTGTGGCCTTTTCCTCCTCAGGTGCCTGGTTTTGATTATTAGTTGTTTAAAATATCCTGTTTCTAAACTCTCAGACAAGATTTTCTGGTTTCTGTAACATTTTCTCTTGCTGGTTCTAATTTTACGTTTCCTGGTTATATTTTTATAAGCATCTCGTGTTTCTCTGACAAAGAGCTAAACCCTATGATGAATCAGGACCATCAGTGTGTGAGACACTTATTATTGTGTGTTGTCTTCCAGCTGAGAGTCACGCGGTGTGTTTAGAGCCTGTTTTCTAACCCGTATTTACTACTTTCTTCTCTTTTCTCTGGCAGCCTACAAACGCCTGGATGGAACCACGGACTGCTGCAGCAACAACAGCCTGACGGACCTCTGCTTCTCCTACGTCAAACTTCAGAGCAGGAACAGCAGGGAGAGAGAGGTGACACACACACAAACACACACTAAATCACTTCCTTTATTTGCTGTATTTTTATTCTTGTTTTGTTGGAAAAAATTGACTTTGTTGTAGCAGTGTGGTGCAGAACTGTCAGGTAGTACAGATTTAGTGGGTGTTCTTCCTCTTATCCCAGGCCGACTGCTGCAGGACTCCCGGTTCTTGTCTTAATTAATTCAAAATCGTAACCTAATTAAACCCTTTTCAAAAAATAAATCTATCAAATAAAACTTAAACCTGTCGTTGGAGGTGTAACCCTATTGGGGCTGCATGATATTAGGAAAACCTGCGATATGCGATAACAGTGATTAACATTGCGATGACGATATTACTTGCGATAAATAAAAACTTAGCTCAAAAAATGACCAAAAAAATCATAAAAATGAGAAAAGCAAAAGATGTGAGCAAAGGTAAAAAGAAAATGAACAAGGAAAGGCAATCAGTGGATCCTGGGAAAAGCAGAATCAGCAGAACAAAGCTAACTCAGTTGTTTGCTAACCGTCAAAATTAAGTGCAGTCTGCCTCAGGGGCGGGCATCTGACCTATGAGAACCCAGCCAATTGGCCAAATGGGTGCAGAGCTTTATTTGATTTGTTAAAAAAAAACATCACGCTTCTGTTTGACAGAATGCATCATGTGTAGCAAACATTTGAGCTGACCATTCGTTACGATATTTATCTGTTCTTTGCGATATGCACATTGCGCATGCTGATATCGCGATAACGATATATTTGCCATATATTGTGCAGCACTGAACCCTGTGACATCCATTTAAAGTATTTTTTTCCCTTTGTTTTGCATTTTGTTAAAAATATTTACAGAATACCATTTTTAATGTAAAAGTTTACTTTTCTGGGAAAAGTAAAAGAAACTGGGACAGAGACTGGACAAAAGGGTTTTTGTGGGTCCAGATGTGCAATCACGTTTGGACTGTTTTATTTAAAAATAATAATAAAAACGTTTCAATCTTGTCATTTTCCTTTGTGTGTTATTTAGAAGTTATTTAATCAGGCTATTTCCTATGGAATTCTGTTGCTCATTGCTGAAGGGATTAAATAACTGTTTACTAACAAAGGGAATCGTGCAGCTCCAAGAACGGCAGCAGCAGAAGAGTTTACAGGATCTTAATGTAGAAACTTACTTAAAATTTCATACTATTACTTCATTTACGGATGTATCTAAAGCATTTCTTTTGCTTCATGCCTGATCTAAGTCTGGTGTGATACTTTTTATTGATGCACATTAAAAACTGCAGCCGTGTGATATTCCTGTAAGTGAGAGCAGAGTACTGCTTCACACAGTAGAGCTTTAATCATGGTGTCTGAAACCCCTAAATGATGTACTCTACTTATTCTGACGGATTCTTTAAGTCTTTTAGTGGTTTTAGTTTGTTGTGATCAGACATAAGAGGCCATCTCACTTCTAAAGCTTGGTTTATGCTTGACACATTCACTTTCCGCTTGGTGATGCGGCTCGCGGATGGAACGCGCTTCACAACTCGCAGCGTTTATGGTTCATGCGGCTCGTCTCTGCGGTGAGCCAATATTCTCCCAAACTGTAGGGGGCAGCATGGAGCTCTATGGCATGCATCCAACACTAAACCATAGCAGAAGTAAAAATGACTGTTTACAACATGGCATTCCAGCATTTTTTAGCAGCGTCCTCGTCTTTTCCGACAGTGCGAGCTATTTCTCTCCAAGAATTATTAACAACATGTTGATCACAGTGATCTTTGAGAGCTGAATCATACAAATGTCTGTATTTACGAACCTCTGCCATACTAGTTCTTGCCAGTCCGCCATGTTTTTCCGCGTCCGACCGTCCGCGTGGTTAGGAAATTTCCTAGGTGCGCAGTGCGGAAAGTTTGGGCCATGCGGAGACACGGTGGAGGGGCGTGGTTGTTAACGCAATTTTGCCGCGCTGAGCCGTGCGGACCTCGCGGACGCGTCAAGCATAAACCAAGCTTAAGAGTTTTGTAAATTGAAGGTAAACTTGGATTTGTGGATTTTGGATTAAATGTTTTTTTGATTATTAGAAATGAGTAGGGGTGGGAAGTGAACGTGTAAATTACGACTAATTAGAAAAAAATTACACGTTAAAAAAATAAACACTAGCCTGAGCGCCCCCAAATTGGGGCCGAAAATATTTAGCATCAGAATTCTTGCCCTAAGTATCAATAAATATCATCAAGCTTCTCTTCTAAAAAAGCTGCAGAGCCGGGGCGAAAAGACCATGAAAACAGTTTTACGTGCTCCAAACACGACTAGTTCTACGATTGAATTAATCATGAAAAATCACTCTTCTTAAAGAAAAGAATGAAAGAAAAAAAGTAAACTTTTTTTTATTGTTATGGCAGAAAGCAGGCCGGCATTAACTTTATCCATGTGAACTTAATCACAGCAGGAGAGACGAGCACACACAGCATTCATCTAACCAGCAGAACTTCCCCTCAACTCTACACTACACCTCTATATACGTTAGCAGTACTCTGCTGTTCAGTACACATTTACACCTATTACTAATATTTATGCATCCTAACAAATCCCACAAGGATTACCTTTATAATGAGACCAAAGTTAACAAATAGACTTTGTTGTTACTGAAATAAATTCGTTAAAATGTGGGTTTGCCATCTGCCTCACTGACATAATTTTTTTAATAAAAAAAAAGCTTGGTGAAATTGTCTTGAACGATTTAAATGGGATTAATCAAGATTAATTAATCACGAAGCCTGAATTTTTTGCCCCAGAACACACTTCTTCAGCCTTGTCGAAACTCCAGCACCGGTTTTACTTTTCTTGGTTCTAAGAACACATCTTAGGTGTGTTCTTGCTGTGTCGTATCTCTAATTCCATGCTGTAGTTCTTTTTTAAAACACAGCAGTTTTGTTTACCTGTTTTCCCGCTACGTTTCGTTTGCGGCTGCAAACTTCCTCAGGCTGACGCTGATGGTGGCGTCACTTCCTTCTCTGTTTATCCGCGGGCAGCAGAGGACGTTGTCACCCTCTGCTGCCCACCGGACGCCAACTCAACACACGAACAATAGAACATAGAAAGGAGTGCGAGAAAGAGGCAAGTCGAAAACACACAAGAGCAGCAAAAGAAGAAGCAGAAAGCACAACAAAGAAGTCAGCCGTAATGGGCTCGACACACGGGAGGCGACAAACGACTGCTATCAGCGAAATTTGTCGCTGTCGCTTTTATTACCTGACACACGGGAGGTGATCCGCGCCAGCGGCAAAGCCGTCTACGTGTTCTGTTCCATGGCGAAATCGAAACTTCTGTTGTTTTGTTTGGCTGTGTCAGGTTGGAGGGAATTAAGGTTATTTAAGCGGTTCAGAGTTAGAAAAGCGGTAGATATGATGTTTCACAAGGTGCTGCTAGAGTTACGTGAAATCTTACTTCTGATTTTACTATAAAACATAATAATAATCAACTTCTCCTCCATGTTTGCTCGGAGGTTTACGGAGCATCATGTCCGCTCATTGGTCAGTGAATGAAACCTCCGTTGATTGGTCCTTGTCCGAGCGACAGCGATGAAAAGTTGAAAATGTTTCAACTTTCTGGGATCGCGTCGCTGGGTCGCCTGTGCACGACACGTGCACGAGCGCAAAATTTCACACGCACGTTTTTCACGTTTCGCTTGGTAGGAGGGAGACCCACGATTATCGCTTTGTCGCGCATGTCTCATTGAAAATGAATGGAGGAGAGGCGACGTCGCCTCCCGTGTGTCGAGCCCATTACAGATCACTGCACAAGAGAAAACCATATAATGGACTGGGACAACACAAGGATCATAAACACCGAACAACAAAAATACAAAAGATGGTTGAAAGAAGCAATCGAGATAAGGAGACGTGGATGTGGGACCATGAACAGAGACCATGGAGTTTAGACGTTGGACCGCGCATGGGACTGCATCGTCGGAGAGGGGAGAGCGGGCAGCAGAGGGCGACAACGTCCTCTGCTGCCCGCGGATAAACGGAGAAGGAAGTGACGCCACCATCAGCGTCAGCCTGAGGAAGTTTGCAGCCGCAAACGAAACGTAGCGGGGAAACAGGTAAACAAAACTGTTTTGTGTTTTAAAAAAGAACTACAGCATGGACGTATGATTCAGTTGTTCACTTTTTCACATTTTGCACTATTTAGTAGCTTTTTTGGTTTTATTTGTGCCATTTAAAATGGTTTTTATCACTCACTGCATTATTTTTTGCTTTGGATAGTGCTGTTACCTTTTACCTGTTCTCTTATTTTTTTAGTTTCAGTAGGAATTTTATCCTTGATTATTTATGCTGTCTTTAAGTAATTGACCTGATTTCTATGTTTTGCTTTGTTTTGCTGATATGCTCGAGCATTTGGCTCGTATGTACAGTACAGCACTGTGGTTAGCTGCCATGCTATTTTTAAATGGTGCTTTATAAATAAATTGGTATGGTAGAAATTAGAGATGCACCAATTCTGATTGGTGTACAGCTGAAACCTGGCATCCAGATTTGTGCCCAATTAGATTCATATCAGTGAGCTTAAGTTAACAGAAAACAATAAGTTCAGTTAACTTGAAAATGGTGCATCAGGGAGTCGAACACATCCATGTGGTCCACATTTTTATTATTGGTAGCATGAAATAGTTTTGTTCTCATTTGGTAATGGTGAGTTTCAGACAAACAAGTCGATCACCGATAAAGCGGATCCTGCTTATCTTAGTCCTAACTTTTACAAGACCCTTTGGATTATTCTGCACATGTGCTAAAAACTCTCAGGATCATAAAAAACATTTGGTTTTCAGTGACATTGCAGAACATTCTGTGCATAAAAAATTGCACCGTCATGATACAGATAGAAAAGTCCAGCTCAGCTGAGTCTTTGTGTTCTTCGTCTGCAGTTCGCCTGCATGCCGGTGCGCAAGATGGTGGCGGGCACCCGAGTGTGTCGCACGGACAACGACTGCGCCACGCACTCCACCGCCGCCAGCGTTTGTGTCACGCCCTCCCTGGAGAACCAGACCCGCTTCATTCGCGTCACACATCCTCCCAACACACACATGCTGTTCGTCGGGTATCCGCCGCACCTGCAGCACGCCGGTACGAACGCATGCAACTACTCCAGAATTTTTCCGAGTGGATTTAATTTAGTGTTTGACATTCCACCCCGGGAGGATTGTGACACCTACACTAGACTGTAAACTATGGTGTTGACATAATTACTGCTGACTGGAGCATGTAGGTGTTCGGCTGAGTCCTGTAATCAGCGGGAGGAGACAGATTCATGGAATTATGACCTCTTCGCTTCCTGTTTTCTCTTTACTAGTGAGTCTGACCAACTTCGTACCTCGGTTTGGTTTTCTCCACCTGGACCTGCCCATCTTCCTGGAGACTTTCCTCAAGTATCCTTTTCTATAATGAACTCCAGCTGTTATGAAGGGATGAGTGTATGTGAACGCGGCTCCTGTGTTACTCAAAATGAAAACAATCCTGTTTTTAAAGGATTGAAGGAAGCGATGAGTTGCAGTTTGGAGATCAAGTGCACTTTTACCAAAGCTTTAGATGCTTTTTATGACCCCTGCACTGCAGATCAGCACTTCTAGAACTAATTTAGCTGCAGTTTTTATTGTTTGCAGTTTGTTTTTGTCAAATCATCAGAGGAGCATTCGACTGATGTTTATTAGTAATGTAAAGTTGTAAAGAAAGATTGGAAGCTGTTGGAATTGATGAAAATGGAATCGGTTTAAGTGGTTATAGGAAACCGAACAAGCTCAGAGTGAATCTGGTGACACAAGTGAGCTTTATCGTTTTTAAAACTTCTCTTTTGTTTTCCTCGGCTGCAGTGATCTTCAGATGTTTGGTTTTCAAGCTTCTGGGTTTGAGAGCAAATTCAGTGCAGGTTCAAACTTGGATATTTGTGGCCAATGAAACAAAAAACAGGTTTTATTTAATTTAGAGTAATATTGTGGTTTCAAAGTTGCTGCAGCTTTTTGAATTAAAAGTACTGAAAATCAACTCGGAAAGGAAAACGTGGACGGAGTTCTGACCTTTCAGTCGGCCAATCGGGGCAGACTTCTATGGTAAACATTTAGTCAGAAAAGATGCAGGAATGTTGTAAAACCAGAAAAGTCACATTTTTATAGGATTACGACATTTAAATGACTTATTGGGGTCTTTCTGGTCCTTGAAATACTGAAAAATGCTTGTTCTAGTTAAAAGTTTTTGCCAGTGCTTTAATTGTACAGCAGTTGCTGCTGAGTGGCTTTACAAAGTAAAAGCTTTGTTTATATTAGCTAAAAATCCCTATTTTATGAATTCTGGGTTGTTTGTGTTGGGCAAATTAGAAACATGAAATATTCATGTGTCTGCGCTAACCCTCAGATGTATTTATTTTTTCCAGGAACTTTAATTTAGCCGTTAAATGTGAAGATGTTTGTTTATCTGTAGAAACCATGTTCATTCCTGAGCTGCTGCTCCTCAGATACGTGGTGTCTCTCTCAGGCGCGTTGGCGGTAGTCAACTCCGTGCCCTGCTTCGCTCTGGACGGCCAGTGGATGTTGAGCGCCCTGCTGGAGGCCACGCTGGTTTCCGTGGTTACGGACCGTCAAAAGCGTGAGCTAATAGGTTTCTTCCTGTTGCTGTCAGGCAGCGCCCTGCTGGCTGCCAACGTGGCGCTGGGCCTGTGGATGGTTACGGCCCGGTAGCAGCAGCAGTGGAGGTTAGCTCACTCACCACGACAGGAGCAAATGAGAACTCGGCTGAGGGTGAGTTTGACACGTGTGGACCACTAAACTGTGAACATGCAGGGAAGAGGAGCTGCTTTTTTCTGCAGACTGTTGAATAGAAACTTGTTCTGCCTTTAAACCGGACTGCCACTGAACATTCTTCCTCCACCTCGTTGCCGCCATAAAACCAGAAGCACAGCGGAGAATAACGCACTTGCTGTAAAGAACTCACCTCATGGATGTTTATAAATCCGACTAAAACTTGTGAAGTGTTGAAGGTGAAGAAATTCCTCGTTTCTGCCCAAAAAGCTGCAGAAGTTTACGATGAAGTCATTTTAACTGAATGCATGATGGTATCTTCTTTCTTTAATGTCCAGTGTTTCCCCCAGGAATTTTTCCAGCTGTGGCGGGGGTGGGGGGGTGGGGAGAAATTATGACGCGTCTCTAAATAAAGTAAAATTTTCTAGTGCAGAGAGGAGACAACCCATAGAAGCACTGATCTGATCTCATTTCAGAGAAAAATAGAACAGGTTAGATGCACCTAATAAATAAAATTACTAACAAACTCAGGAATCTGTTTCTTTGCTTCACTGTTCTGGTGCTGAAAATATCACTAATATGGATCAAAGGAGATACACAGATGAATGCATCTCTTATTTATTATTTGGAGACTACATTTACTGCAGCTGGCAGAAGCAGGGATTTTTTCTATTGATACATGAAATTTACAGAATCATTTCAAATTGTAATAGGGGAAGACTGCAGGAGGGAGAGGTAAAATACAGGGGGTCCCCAGCAAAAACAAGAAACTTTACGAGTCTGATGAAACCCGCTGGTTTTCCATCAGGCAGTCACGGGGCAGCTCCAACGACCCAGTGCCTGTGCTGGGTCAATGTTATCGAGCTCAGTCCGGCTCGGCCGTGAACGAGCCGAGGCGACGTCGTGCTCTGCTTAAGAAGAGGTGTTATTTTCCCGCTTCAGAAGAAGCGTCCAACGTGTTTTTACGCTTTCTCCGAGACATGTCACATCGCTAAGTTGTTAGCGCCGCGCGCTAACACGTCAATAGTGCAGCGTAGCCTGCTGGAGGTTTTAAGGGTTCAGATGAAAACACCCGACCTCTCACGCTGCTCACACATCGATCTTAAGTTGTCGCTGTTGCGCTCACGCCGTAATACAGTATTAGATGCGGTTAAAGTCAGACATGAAAAAATAAATACATTTTACATGAATAAGTGACGATTAGCCTGGTGGGGGGAGGAGAACCTGGCCTAATAAGCACTGGAGGAAACCCTGTCAAGATCGTCAACACTCGTTTATCTTAATGCTGTTGAAACATGTAAACCACAAAGCATTATATCCACTGCTACCTTTCTAATTTTAAACTCAGTAACTTATGCTGTAACTTCACCCTGCCCTGCCTGCTCCTCCTTGCTGCCCGCCGGCTGTGATCACAAGCAACAACATAGTAGTTCCCGCTGCTTCTTCGGGAAACAGCACAAAAAAATAAAATGAAAAATAAAACTTGGGATCTTGTAGGCATGGCGGCCCACCACGGCTACGCCTATGTAAGGGAAACTCTGATGTCACATCACTGTTGGGAGAAATTGCACTATCCATTATTCATCTTTAACCAAACACGTGACTTACCTGATAGGCTGAAGGTACCGAGTCCATCTCAGCTTGTTAATAGGTAGGTGTTGTTGGGCTAAACCAAAGGTCTGTCTCCTCCAGGCATCACTGCAGGAAAATAACCTTCTGTGCTCACTTTCTTCTGGAAGTTCTTCCTTCTTCACCTGACCTCCCGCTGTCTGCAGTCTGCTTGTAAAAGTTGTCAAAATTGTGGAATAAATTTTTTTTAAATTAAGTATGGTCTCAAGTCGCTTAATCCAATACACATTGGTATTTTCCTGTTCTTAATTTAATTTTATAGTTCTACTCCTTATTTAAAATTCTCAAGACACCATTAAATGGGACAGCTCCTATTCCAGAGATGACAGACCGTTACAACACTACCAGACTGTTGTTTTCCAAGTGGGAGTCGTGATTGCTGTGGTTTGCTTGAGTCTGATGCTTCTCTAGGAAAAATTGCAGCACACCTTTCTAATTTTACACTCGATTCACCTCCATCAGGTCATTTTCCCCAGACTCGGCACACGGGACTACGCTTTTAGGAGCGCTCCAAACCGCAGCGTTGTTTAAGCGTTATGAAGGAGTACATAGCAGTGATTAGACTTCCTGAGATATGACACCTTGTAATTTGGAAGGGTGTTCCCCGAAGACAAGTAAATACTGAGAGGCCTTTAGCCCAGCAATAGAGGTACTTACCAAAGTAAAGTAGACACCTTTGTCTGCTGGCTCTCTGGGATTCTGAACGTCATAGTGTGTTAATTATTTTAGTGTAGGCGGATAGAACCAGGCCTGATTCACCGGACTTGTGTTTAGCTTGGTTTAGAGATAAGATTCTTTAAAAGCAGAGCATTTTTCTCCCTCTTTTCCATTTTTAGCAAACAGATTGCTCATGTGTCCTCACATGTGTTGTTCTGTTGCTTATCTTGCACTAATAACAGCCTGGAGGGACGAGAAACAGACATGGGAGGATGATGGAGGGAGGAGGGAAAAAAAATAAAAGGTGCATGTTCTGGCCGACAGGTCGATGTTCAGAAACAGACCCTAATTTTACTTTCTTTGAACAGTTTTTTTTTTTTAATTTTTGTACTTCTTGAGTATTGAAATGCTACAATTAGCAAATCACTATTAACCCTTTAAAGCCTGAAACATGAAATGATCATAATAAAACCACATTTTTAAACTGAACTGTTACTTTTCTCATGTCAATTAAAAATATTTTTTATTGTATTATGCAATTCCATAACATTTTAATGGTAATAAAAATAAAATTGGTCAGCACCACTCGCAGATCCTCCACCAGAGGGCGTTCAGATGGAATATCAGGATTTGTACCTTCATTTAAAGTTTTTTCAAAACTCCAAAATCACGACGAGTCGTCTCAAGGCACTTCACATAGTAAACATTCCAATACAGGTCAGTTCATTAAGCCAATCAGAAAAAAGTTTCCTATATAAGGAACCCAGTTCATTGCCTCAGTGACTACAACAATCCTCATACTAAGCAAGCATGCAGCGACAGTGGAGAGGAAAATTCCCTTTTAACAGGAAGAAACCTCCAGAGGATCCTGGCTCGGTATAAGCAGCCATCCACCACGACTCACTGGTGATCGAGAAGACAGAACACACACACACACCAAGTAATGTTTCTATGGTTATATGTTCATCCAAACAGTCCTATAAAGTTCAGATTAATTTATTATTTTTGTCTATATTTCAAACTTTGAAGAGTTAAACATTGTTGAATGGAGTAAAAAGCAAATTTTTGAATGAAGACAATCAGATCACCCCTACACTGTAAGAAATGAAATGTTGAATTTACTTAACCACGGTCCACTAAACCTAGTTGATTAGATGTAAAGAGTAAAATATGTTGCTATGTTAAAAGTAAATGTGTATTACTCGTTACATGTAATCAGCTAGGTTTAGTGGTTAAGTAAATTCAACATTCATTTCTTACAGTGTATAGAGCTGTAGCATGTGGAAGTTGTATCTACCATGTTGAGTATTGAACTGGCATCCTTAAAGAGCAAGTCACCCCCTACCAGATTTTTACTCAACTCCCACTTCCTGTTTGAAAAATGCAACAAATGCTGTTGCCTAGCAGACCGAGAGGGCGGAGCCACTAACAAATACACACACTCATGACATTGTTACATTATAATGTACCATATAACATCATAGTGTACCTCTTAGCCAATAGCGACGGCAGATTTAAATTCAAATGCAGTGCTGAGTTTTTACCTGACAACGGTGCAACACTGACAGCTTTAGGGAGAAGATTAAATTTTTAACTAAGATGGTCTAAAGTGCCGAATTATTGACTGCACATGTCTACAGCACGATCAGACACTCATTTATATAGTTTATCAGGAAAAAATGTTGGTTTGGAGTGACTTGCTCTTTAAGCTCGTTACTGTGATGAGGAGGAACTGACAGTAAAACTCACTGATGGACAATTAAAAAGCCAACCAGTGGTGCAATGCTGCTCCGAGGCCTTAGAGATAACGTTTAGAGCTCAGAGAGGAGCAAGAGGCCGTCAGAACTCGGGAGCTGGAACCCGTCTGACATTTTGCACAATAAGTTAGAAACAGGACACGAGTGATTGTGGGTCACAATGGAGAACAATGGCATCGCGGTTTCTGCTTGATGAGTGTTTTAGACAACACAGGAAGTTATGTCTATATAAGGAGATTTTGGCTGACGCCCCAAACCCTAATGAGCACGTGCAGAAAGCAAATCTTACCGCAGAGACTGAATAGAGTTGAGGGCCAGTCAGCAGCTTTGGTGTCACAGTTTTAACGTCAGATGAATCTACTGTAATCAGGCTCCGGTGCACGTGAGCCCAGCTTTGTTCTGGCCCGGTAACCGGCTGATCTGATAAAGGTTTTGCAGAGCGCCCATTGTTCTGTACATCAGGTTAAGTACGTTTCACATTTATGCTTTAGTCATTAACAAGAAGAGCAGTGGGTAATGATTTACAGGCAGGAGCTGATAAGGTTCTGGTTTGAGTCGGGGATAATAAATGACCCAGTTGATCTCAATGGGAGGAGTCGTGTCCCTGTTTCCAGCTGGGACTGGGACAGGAAAGGAGGAGTGTCAGGGGAGAGGAGGAGATTTTGGGGATGGAGGGAGGAACAGTGAGATGAGCAGAGTGAAGTTGGAGAAACTTCTCATGTTGTTGACAGATTTCAGTGATGCAGGTTAGGATTTCTGGAGGTTAATGGAAAGCAAACCCTGTGGGGGGGTGAAGTTTCAATTTCAAAAAGATTTTATTTTATTTTTATTTTTTACATATTTTTTCTAATTGAGTTTTGTTTTATTATTTCTGTGTTTTATACTTTTTTCTTTTTAGGGAGTGTGTGTTTCAGAGTATTTATTTTTTTTAATTTTTTGACATATTAAACAATGGAGCTGGAGCATTTAGGAGGTGGGGGGGTTAAACCAGAGAGGGGCGGTAATCGTCTCTACAAGATAGCACTGGTCATGTGTGTGTGTCTCTGTGCAGCCCTTCTGCTTGCTCTCATACTGGGTAAGTACACACACACACACACACACACCCATTTAACCCTTTTCCTACATCATAATTTCTTTGGAATTTAACATATGCAACAGAACAAACTCTGTCCTCAAATTGTAGCGCTTGAATACTGTAATAACCCATAACCACGCTGGTGAGAACCTTGTTTAGAGCCATCGGGTGACTATTTTTGGATCATGTCAAGTTTCACATGCTGCCCTTCAGGCACAAGAGGAGTTAAAGGGAAATGTGTATTGAGTTGCTAGCTGATTTGCAGTTTTTTGTATGTGTGTATAGTAGATTGAAGGGTTAATTTATATAATAGGTGACAATGCATTAAATTTAACATTTTAACATAGTTAAATATAATTATTTATTTACATGGTGTACAGGTGTATTCTGTTGTTACTTTTTAATCACACAAAAATGTTTGCTCATTGTTTTTCATGCTCATTTATCAGGAGGAAGATGTTATTCAAACCAACCAGGCCTATGGTAAAATGTTGTGCCTTCAGTGTTCAATCATGAATTAAGCTTAATTAACCACTGTGACGGTGGCACAGGAGTTAAGTGCTCGCCCCGTAATCAGAAGGTTGCAGGTTCGAGCCCCGCTCAGTCTGTCACTGTCGTCGTGTCCTTGGGCAAGACACTTAACCCACCTTGCCTGCTGGTGGTGGTCGGAGGGACTGGTGGCGCCAGTGCTCGGCAGCCTCACCTCTGTCAGTGCGGCCCAGGTCAGCTGTGGCTACATTGTAGCTCATCCCACCAGTGTGTGAAGGTGTGTGTGAACGGGTGAATGACTGGTTGTGTTGTAAAGTGCCTTGGGGGGTTCCAGGACTCTAGAAGGCGCTATATCAACTACAGGCCATTTACCATTTACCATTATTTGTTTCATGAGCTAAACTCAGACCTGATTATTACCAAACCTCTACAATACATAATCCCTTTAACAGAACATACCTGATAGCACAAACTAGGCCAAAAGATCTAAAAAAAAGCAATACGTCATTCCCCGCTCAAAGGAAATTCAACAACAAAAAATAACCTAAAGCAACTTTTAAATACCTTGCTACAAAGGCTGGTACATTCACCTCAAATAAAAGAGACATTCTTGATGATCTTCAAGACTTCAGAGAAAACATTCTGCATTTTGCAGAAACTTACCAACAGTCAAGCATGGTGGTTGTAGAGTTGGGATGGTCTAGGGCTGCTTTGCTGCTTCAGTACCTGGATCACTTGCTATAACTGATGGAACTATGAATCCTGCTGTCTACCAGAAAATCCAGAAAGAGAACTTCTGACTTTAACTCTAAACAGGCCATCCATACTGGAAAACTCTCCATTAGGATTAGGGGTCAATTAAGCTTTGGGTCCATTGATCTGTTTCTGTTGTGAAAGCGAGCCAAACAACCAACCTGCCATGCATGGGCCTGTTTCAGTTGTAGGGTTAGGACAATGGAGCGGTGCAGCCAGTGTCACACATCACAGTCCATTGGTCGAGCAACAGAAAAACGTCACTGTTTGCAACAAGCAAAGTAAGCCAGAGTGCTGTCATTGGTATTGTTATTTACACATGGACGTGAGAGGATGCCAGTAAGTAGTAGCAAGGTTTGGTTGGCTTCAAAACTACTCACATCCCTCACTATCGTCCGTGATAGCCACATACAGGATGGTACGCCTTTAGGTTTATCTCTGCCTGCCAAGTGAAAGTCTAACTGGCAATCAAACACTCTCCTGAAATCGCCACCTCATTCCGGGCTTCAACCCAGACCACTCCACTCGATGGAACCAAAGCCATATTTGCTACCTTAAATCCTTGAATGTAAATCTTTAAGGGGACTAATGCATTTGTACAGCCCTGCAGGTTCATTACAAAACAAATTTAATGTCAAGTTTAAGGTTTAACTTCTCCTTTTAAGATAAACATGACATGTTACACTTTGTCCTTATTTAACCGAATACTAAATGCAGAACCTGAATGCTCATAGATGAATTTCTACATGAATAATGGAGGACTCCAGCCTAACGGATTTCTACAGACTTGCTGCAGTCCACTGAGTTTTACAATCACTTCTTTGTCACGGCCCTCTAGAGGTGTCAGTTGTGGAGATGTTTGAACTTTCACAGAGTTGTTGCATCATGTAGATTTGCTGCTGTGTTTGGGATCATTGTTCTGCTGTAAGACCCAGTTTGGATAAGATCCACGTATCAGACAGACGGTATTACATTTTACTCAAACACACTGGTATATAGTGGAGTTTATGGTCAGTTTAAAGATTACCCAGGTCCAATGGCAAAACAAGCCCAAATCATCAACATGAATAGGATCTTTTGACGATGACTGTTACGGTAAAGAAAATCTTGAAACATCAAAATTTTTATGTAGACCGCCGAAACGCAAACATTTGAACAATACGACATCTTAATCTGCCCTGTAACCCCAAATGCATTAGCCATAATCACAGATTTAAGAGCCAAGTTGCTCAACTAGAGCAAAAACATATTTATACTGAGGACAAGTAGATGGTTCAACTGAGAGAAAGCCTTTGGGAAGACCAGCAGTGATTGGACAACTTTGTCCTCATCTTGGACGAAACCATGTTGTTTACTACACACCAAAAAACGTAGAGAAAAAACGTGCAAGTATTTGGACTGGCATGACTCCCATACAACACTGGCTGGAATATTTGTGCATCTTAGGTGTGTTCTTGCTGTGCGTTATTTCTAATTCCATGTTGCCGTTCTTTTATAAAACACAGAAACAGTTTTGTTACCTGTTATTGACGCTACAGTTTCGCCGACGGCTGCCGGCTTCTTCTTCTTGATCAGCGTCAGCCTGAAGAAGCCGGCAGCCGTCGGCGAAACTGTAGCGTCAATAACAGGTAACAAAACCGTTTCTGTGTTTTATAAAAGAACGACAACATGGAATTGGAATATTTGTGGTTTAATGTGACAAAAAGTTAAAGTTCCCCTTCATCGGTCAACACCAAGAGTTTGTTTTTTGCTCTTATATTTGACATTCCCTTCATTTGTTTTTGTAGAAACAACAAAAATATACATAAAAAACCTGTGTGGCTGTTGGGTCTCTTCATTTGCCAGGGCCCTATGCTATCTTATCCGTGTGTAGGCTCCATCAAAGATAAATGATGGGCTTCAAATTGTTTATAAATGGCCTCATAAGCCTTTCTAGATTGATGGGTAGCAACAGATGCTTGTTTAACACTGATGTCTTTTTTTTCTACTCTGCATTGACTTGGTTAAACTCTGACTCTAGAAGTCACTTTATGGTACAAATTAATTGGAAACATTCTGTGCAAGAAGTGAAAGGGTCAAAATGATGGTTTTGTTGTCTTCTGATGATGCTTCTAGTTTACCCACACCAAGCATACTTCTCTGTGACCTGTAGTGGTGTCAGTGCATACATATTTTAAACATCGGAACAAAACCAGACTGACTAACTTCCCCTTTTGGAGGTCCTTGTGGCGAGCTGGTCTTAATGGGCTTTCCCCTTCTATTAGAAATAATTCCATTTCACAAGACTGGAAATATTTACAACACTTACAGGAGACAGTTGTCAGAAGAACATGAAAACAATGTCAATAGTCCTGGCCCTGTGTTTGTGAGGCTGATCATAACAGGAGTGGCTCATCTAGGGTGGGAAAACTATTGTTCTTTTTTTATTTTTTTTGTATAGTGCTGAGGGAAGTCGACATTCTTGTGGCGGCACTGAAGTGTAATCATGTTCTGCGCCTATGCATGCAGTTTCAAATACCCGCTGTCATGGAAACCCTCCTCCAGTCTTCAGCCATTGGAATGGAGAGACAGGAATTCTAAGTGGTTGCTTTGATTTAATGATTTAAGGAAACTCTTTCATTTGAGTTTTGTCTCCACGTGTGTTTGATTTTGGTTTAAGAGGAAAATGTAATGAAGCAGCTATGAGTACACGCATTTGCTGCAAACGTCGCCACAGCATGAAATAAAAGCCTTGCATAATCGGCCCCAGTCAGAACACAAGAGCGATGAATCCCTGAGGTCAGACATTGATGATGCAGCTAAGTACTGGTCCTCTTGTCCGTTAATGGTTGGGATTTGGATTTTAAATATGTGTACTCCCTTTGTGGCTTTGCGTAGTCTCAGTTTGCCACATAAAAGTAGTTTCTGACCAGAGGTTGGGGAGGAGTCTCACCTTCTAGGAATCGACATGAGCTGGTAACTCTGCGGTTGCACAGCTAGTAAAATAAACAATGGGTGGGTCTTTTTTTGACTGTTTTTCTTGCCCTTATTACAAACATGAGGAGTAATTATAACTAACAGCTGAGCGGAAGAGAAAAACCTGATATATTTTTACATTTTAACCAAGCAAGTTAAAGTAGATCAATCGGTAAAGATATTCAGTTTGAAATAACGTGTGTTCACAGCGCATGGCCGAAAACTGCATAATCCCCTTCCTCAGGGTTTGAAAGTGTTTATTCAGCATGAGAACTCTCCAGTTGTATAAACTGCACTTTGAGTCGAGTTTGACCAACTTTCATTTGGCTCCAAATGAACCTCACAACTGAGACGTTTTAAAAACGGACAACTTCATGTTTGACTCTTGGATATGTTGGAGGAGTTTGTGGTCTACCTTTGTCCTGAATACAAGCCCAAGTTATCAGATCTCAAAGGCCAAGTTTGTTTTCTTCTTTTTTAGTTATTTAGAAAAATAGATATTTCTATTCACAGCCATTTGAAACAAGTAATTATTGTTGAGAGAAGACGAAACATGTTACAGTGGGTTTCTTTGAGCATGTCTTGGTTTGACCTTTGGGAACATTGGATGGAACTTCTACTTTTTGACATCAATCTGGATTGTTTTCCATGTTTTTATAACCTGTCTCACTAGGAATGGTGTAAAAACACATTTGCATAATCATTTGTACTGTTGATCAATCATCTATTTGGCTAATGCTTTCTGTTCGATGAAACTCCTGTGTACCACAAGTGTGTTTTTCTCTGCTCCGTGTTTTAGAAGCTGATTCTTAGACTCTGTACCGTACATGCTAGTACCCACAACCTCTTTTCTGTCGTGTTTATAGAGACACTCAGAAGGGGGTTTCTTTGAGTACAGGACGTGTCTTTATTCAGCTGAATGCACTCTAGCTTCACCAGAACCCCTCTGTTTTCAGTAACAAGCCTCTGACATTGAAGATCATAGACAATGTATTTGTTTTCTTAGTTTTTCAGTCCTATGAGCTACTGAATGTTGTCACAGATACCTAAATATTGTGCAAATCTGCTCAATTTTATTTCATGTAATTTTTCTAAACCAGACTATATTGAAGTTTTAATACAAAGGTTGTGCAAAGTGGTAAAAATTTAGCGAGTAGCATCTGATAAATACATGTTTGCAAAATGTTTGTGTTTATACTTCAACACATAGGCTTTAATCACATAGTTATAGATTTCAGTATGAAAGAAGTGCAGTCTTGTCCCATCTCAGTAACAGTTAGTCCAGTTTTGTGCTGCTCTTGCACAATGGCAAACTCTATATATAATAATTTTCTTTGTGAAAGTTTCCACTTCAGTCCTAAATGTTTTTCTTTCTTTCAGTCTCTCAAAAATCCAGTCAAGAGGAGTTCTGTCTAACTCCAGAATGCATTGAAGCAGGTGAGAAAGAACTGAAAACACTCGAGAGCATTCCTTCCTTTGGCTTGATTAGAAACTATTTTAGTCATTAGACCATTTTTCTTGTCGCTGCAGCTGGGTCCATTTTGAGCAAGATGGATCGATCTGTCGACCCGTGCCAGGATTTCTACACGTTCTCCTGTGGAGGTTGGTTAAAGGAGAACCCGATTCCTGAAGACTCGTCCTCCCACGGGATCTACCCCTGGCTGCGTCAGCATGTGGACTTAAGACTCAAAGGTGCGATTGCTCATTACTTTTCCACACATGCTTGAGTTCATCTATCACAGTTACAATATTTGACATTTTATCTTTCTAGAGTTATTAGAGGCTCCTTCAGATGCTGACGAACTGCAGGCTGTGACCAAAGCTAAGATCCTCTACCGCTCCTGTATGAATGAAAGTAAGTCACAGTGGACTTATGGGGAACCCTTTTATCTCTCAAGCGTCTCTAAACCCAAATCTCTGTTTCACCTTTATTAAAATTATTTTTAACCCAAAATTTAAAATGTGTCCATATATATACATGTGTGTATATATGTATGTATGTATGTATATATATATATATATATATATATATATATATATATATATATTTATATCCAAAGATCACCCATGCTGAACCCCTGAAGAGTCCAAGAGGCGCTCTGGCTTAAATGCAGAAATGATGGAGTTTTAGGATAAAACTGAAATGAACATGCATCATCTCACTTAGTCTTGCATCATCTGATGATTTCTTTAGTTTATGTGATGTCTGAGCCACTACGAGACCAAAGTTGAGCTTAATTTCAGTAACATATTTTCATTAGTGATTAATTTGTTTACAAAGCCATGCTGGAGCAGCTGGATGCCAAACCCATGCTGAAAGCGCTGAGGCAACCTGAGTTCCGTTGGCCCGTGGTGGGGGATGGGCTGGGTGGGGAGTACCAGTGGTCCCAGAGTCAGTGGAGTCTCCTTAAGACCCTGGCAGAGATGAGGAACCAGCACAGTAAGAGCGTCCTGATCCGCCTGTACATCTCCCCTGATGACAAAGACTCTTCCCTCTACATCATCAAGGTCAGACATGTCAGAAGCCTATTAGGGAATTAAAACATTTTGAAGCAGCCCGGAAAGCCACAAAAAAAAAAAATTCATCTATTTGTTTCTGTAGCTCGACCAGGCTTCCTTGTCTCTGCCTTCCAGGGAGGATTACACCACAAACACTTCCTCAGCTCTGGCAGTGAGTTTCCTACTCTTCAAGCCCAGTAATATTAAAAAATAAATAAATAAAACAAATGCATCACTCCAGTGATCATTTTTCTTTTTGTTTATTCTTTTTACTTTTAATGACTTACCACAGAAAAATATGTTTTGGCCTCTGGCCGTATTCTTTCTTGGGTTTAGAACAAAAGCTGCAGTCTTAATCAAAAAGCCGTTGTCTTCTGTCCAGAACCGTGCTGCCTTGCTGAGTCTGATGGTGGATGTTGCCGTAATGCTGGGTGCCTCAGAGAAAGCAGCTCAGGCTCAGATGGAGAAAGCTCTCGCCTTCGAGACCAAAGTGGCTCAGGTAAATACGTCATCTCATATAGATCTCTTCTGCTCATGCACAGAAATGTTTACTGGGCCTGTGCAGCACACAAGCTAATAGCACAGAGATCTTAACTGTGAAATAAAATGTTGATCCATCAGGTTTTCTGGCAGTGTAAATAATGGATGTACATTTCTTTGTGTATTTGTGACCTTTTTCATCATGTCTGCAGATCCTGATTCCATATGAAAACCGCACCAGTGAAAACATGTACAACAAATACACACTCTCTCGTCTGCAGCGCTCCATACCACAGGTATCTAAAATACCCACGATTCCTCAAACAAAATCTCCACAAGACGAGAAGGAAATTAAACCCATTAATTATGTAGATGGATAAATGACTCCTTCCTACCTCACATTATAGTCCTACTCCTAAGACAAAAGTGAAAAAGTAAATATTGAATTTTAATGAGACAAAGTGTAGTTTTAGCATTATTCTTTGGAAAAATCCATCAAAATGTTGTTGAAAATGAAATAAATGATGCCCAGTTGTTGAAAAATATTGGCGGCCCCGTAACAAATAACCATAAAAATCGTGTCTAAAACCGTGGGAGCATGGGAGTCTCTGTGCAACCCCATATTTCCTTCTTCGTGAGCCTGTGAGGACAAAACACATTTACTGATTTGCAACAAGTGGTTTCAAAATTTTCACCATTCATAAACGTTTTACTCATTTACCTCTTCGCTCGTTGCTAGTGATGAAAGGGAGCCTGATGTTCTTGTCGTTTTCCTGGAGATTGAATGATCTGACAAAGTACTTGTTCAAAAATTGCGCTCACAGGGAGTTTAGACCCTAATTGCCATCTGTTGGTAAGATCTTACTCAAACACAAAAATACCACGTGCTTGAAAAAATGTAGGTATGTACTGCCCCCTATCGCCATGGGAATTACACACGTCACTTTGAATGCTTAACAAAACAACTTAAAACGTAAAGTGACTTAAATTTGATTAACTTTTTTTTTACAGTATGTGACACATCATGTTTTAAATTTAGTTACACATTTTGATGTTTCCAGGTTTTAGAAGTCAAAAATGTTTATGTGTTTCCGTTTTATTTGTAGTTTGACTGGCTCGGGTTCGTTAAAGCTGTGGTGGAGTCTAAGGATGATTCCACTCGGCTCATTTCCTCCTCCGAGTCCGTCATCGTCAGAACTCCTAAGTACTTCAAAGATCTTGTGAAACTCATTAACTCTACTGACCCCAGGTATTAGAATGATAAGAGGATTATTGTGAACACGTTTTAATGCTCAGCCATGTTAATGCAACTATCTTTGTGACTTTTAAATTGTTCATTTGATGTTTTATGCCTTGATAGACTGATATTTTGACCTATGACCTTTTCATTTAGCATATTTAACATTTTATTTTTCAAATTCCTGATAAGTTACAGTTGGGGAAAATGCAAAATTTTGCCTGAGAAGGATAAAGGCATTAAATGCAAAAAGTCTGTAATAATTGTTCATAGTTAACTTGTAGTGACATCATCGAAATAAGAGGTAAAAAGTAAAAAAAAATTTTTTTCATCAGTTTATAATCTATTCATCTAAGCAGAAATCATTTTCATTTAAAATGAATAAATATATATTTTTTCCATCTCATTATCAAACAAAGTCCTTATTTTCAAAATGTCCTCACCTGTACAGATTTTATTAGCAGTCCCCACAAAGTAAGTTTTACAAGTTCACATTCACACACACACAAGCTTTATCAGGACCTGCTTTCTTAAAATAATTTATTGTGTATAAATCAATAAATTAATGAATTAATGTTGTTGTCTCTCTAGGACAGTAGCTAACTATGTCCAATGGAGGACAGTCTTTTCTAGAATCACCACTCTGAGTCGACGCTTCCTCTACAGATACCTGGACTTTGCTCGGGTTGGTTCTCTCACCACGTCTCTCAACTTCAGCGTTGGAATCACTACCTTTAAAAAGATTCCACTTCCTAAAAGTTACAGAAGAAACACATGAAATGTTTATATTTTCTGTCGATTTTTAAGTTTAGGATGTGGATTGTTAGACTAGACAGATTTAAACCTCACCTTTATGTTCTTTTCTGACAAAGAATAAAAAAATTAATAAAAAAAATTTATATATATACTGTATATAATATCAACATTTAGAGGTTTGTTTTATTGCAACTTTAATTTGCATTTCAAGTAAATGGTTACTTAAAATTATTAATGCCTAATTCTTGATAATGAGAAGAAATATTTAACCCAATGCAACATTAGACCACACCAACAGGTGTGTGTCTGTGTGTGTGTGTGTGTGTGTGTGTGTTAGGGCCTGCACGACTTTATTTTTTTTAAAGTCAACAGTCAAGTAATGAAAGTCGAGTCGACTTCGACTAGTCGTTGATGACGTCATACGCCGGAAGCGGGGGGGGGGGGGGTTCGGGGGGTCGGTCGGTAGGTTCGCTGGAGTTTTTGACAATTAAAATTGCACCCACATTTTCTAAGTTAACACATCTCTTTTAATAACGGTAGTTTCTGCATCCTACTTCAGGCCTCTCCCCCCTCCCCCTGCGCAGCAGCCGCAAACTCACTGATGCGCCTGCAGCCTTTCCTGCTGCTCTAAACATTAAAACAATTATTTCATTTTCTGTTCCTCACTTCTGATTACCTTCAGTGGTGTCTGTTTGTTGCATCCACCAGGTACAAAAACGAACTTGTTTTTATTTGACTATTTTTCTGTCCTGTCTGTTTATTATCTTCCTGCATCTCCTCTCAATCCTAAAGAAAAACTGCTACCTGCGTTCATATATACAGGTGCTGGCCAGTAAATTAGAATATCATCAAAAGGTTGAAAATATTTCAGTAATTCCATTCAAAACGTGAAACTTGTACATTATATTCATGCAATGCACACAGACCAATGTATTTCCAATGTTCATTACATTTAAATTTGATATTCATAAGTGACAACTAATGAAAACTCCAAATTTGGTATCTCAAAAAATTAGAATATTCTGAAAAGGCTGAATATAGAAGACACCTGCTGCCACTCTAATCAGCTGATTTACTCAAAACACCTGCAAAGGCCTTTAAAAGGTCCCTCAGTCTTGTTTTGAAGGCACCACAATCATGGGGAAGACTTCTGACTTAACAGCTGTCCAAAAGACAATCATTGACACCTTACACAAGGAGGGCAAGACACAAAAGGTGATTGCTAAAGAAGCTGGCTGTTCGCAGAGCTCTGTGTCCAAGCACATTAACAGACAGGCGAAGGGACGGAAAAAATGTGGTAGACAAAAGTGTACAAGCTCTAGGGATAACCGCACCCTGCAGAGAATTGTGACGACAAACCCATTCAAAAATGTGGGGGAGATCCACAAAGAGTGGACTGCAGCTGGAGTCAGCGCTTCAAGAACCACCACGAGGAGACTCATGAAAGACATGGGATTCAGGTGTCGCATTCCGTGTGTCAAGCCACTCTTGAACAAGAAACAGCGCAAGAAGCGTCTCGCCTGGGCCAAGGACAAAAAGGACTGGACTGATGCTGAGTGGTCCAAAGTTATGTTTTCTGATGAAAGCAAGTTCTGCATTTCCTTTGGAAATCAAGGACCCAGAGTCTGGAGGAAGAGCGGAGAAGCACAGAATCCACGTTGCATGAGGTCCATTGTAAAGTTTCCACCGTCAGTGATGGTGTGGGGTGCCATGTCATCTGCCGGTGTTGGCCCACTCTGTTTCCTGAGGTCCAGGGTCAATGCAGCCGTCTACCAGGAAGTTTTAGAGCACTTCATGCTTCCTGCTGCTGACCAACTTTATGGGGATGCAGACTTCACCTTTCAACAGGACTTGGCACCTGCACACAGTGCCAAAACCACCAGCACCTGGTTCAAGGACCATGGTATCCCTGTCCTTGATTGGCCCGCAAACTCGCCTGACCTTAACCCCATGGAAAATCTATGGGGTATTGTGAAGCGGAGGATGCAATACGCTAGACCCAACAATGCAGAGGAGCTGAAGACGACTATCAGAGCAACCTGGGCTCTCATAACACCTGAGCAGTGCCACAGACTGATCGAGTCCATGCCACGCCGCATTACTGCAGTTATTGAGGCAAAAGGAGCCCCGACTAAGTATTGAGTGCTATACATGCACATTCTTTTCATGTTCATTCTTTTCAGTTGGCCAACATTAGAGAAACAAACATTTTTTCATTGGCCTTTAGAATATTCTAATTTTCTGAGATACCAGATTTGATGTTTTCATTGGTTGTCACCTATAAATATCAAAATTAAACGTAATAAACATTGGAAATACATTGGTCTGTGTGCATTGCATGAATATAATGTACAAGTTTCACGTTTTGAATGGAATTACTGAAATATTTTCAACCTTTTGATGATATTCTAATTTACTGGCCAGCACCTGTATTCACCTTATGAGTTACCTTTGAACTGCAGTTCTAAAAAGATCTACCGACCGCAAAAACAGCGGAGTGCCGCTGCTCGCCGGCCGACTACAACGGGACCGTTTTTGCTGCGGAGTTCATGCCGGAGCGGAGTGGAGATAGTGGAATCTTGGGGGTGCGTCACCGGAGAACAAAACAGGTTAAGAGCCTCGCTCCGCAGCAGCGAAACACATCAGGCACAAATAACAGACAGAAAACATGAAAGGAAATGAGCCGACATGAACGATCGCGTGTTTAATTTGTTTTTGAGGTGGTGACACCTGATTTGGCGGTGCTCAGGACGCAATGTCTGGAGCGCACGTCAACGATCAGAGCTTTGCATGCACAAACTGGTTAAGATTAGGATGGGGGTGAGGGGAAGGTTAAATTGTAAGAGGGAAAAGGTCACAGTTTGGTTAAATGTCCGTTTTACCGCCGGTGTCAGTACCGCGCAGCGCGTTGCCTCCGCCTCGATCCAGACGCGCAGGGGCTCATCACCTGCTGTCTTTTCCGAGGACTGCATCTTGTCAGTCATTATCACATGACAGCGACTAGTCGATGACAGGCATAAAAAGTCACTACAGAGCCGTGAAGTCGACTAGTCGACTAGTTCGTACAACCCCTAGTGTGTGTGTATATATATAGTTCTGTTAATTTAAGAATTAAAGAGTTTTTGTTTAGCATTTTTATCATTTTTCTGGCATTCATTATTGTGATTTTTTTTTGTTTCCATTCATTATAACAGTCCAGTTACTAATTCAAACATATAAATTATGAACATATCTGCCTCCATTCACATTAAAAGCCCATTAGGACTCATTTTCTGACTCATAGCTCACACACCTTGAGGCTGAGACTTTAATCAAGTAAGATTTTCATTTATTTTTATCTGTAACTGCTGCTTTCTATCAGGTCACCACCGGAACCACCTCCTTGACCCCACGCTGGGATAAATGTGTTAACTACGTTGAAAACTCGCTCGTTTATGCCACTGGGCGCCTTTTTGTTGACACACACTTCCAGGAAGACAAGAAGCACATGGTGTGTATGCTTGGAAATGCTCTTCATATAAGTGAATGAATACATTTAATATTTAGTTTTGTTCATTAAATCGTTTGGAATATCAGATGGAGGAGCTAATCGATGGAGTTCGGTGGGCGTTCATCGACATGCTGGAGAAAGAAAATGATTGGATGGACCAACAAACGAAAAAGAGAGCCATAGAAAAGGTAAAAACAACTGGTTTCATAATAAACGAGAAACATACTCGGCCTACTTAACTGGGAGCTGTCGTGGTTTTTCAGTCAAACATTATCGTATCTGGATGCTAGTTCCAGTTTTAAAAATTTAAATCATGCAGCGTCATTGTTGGCACTGTTTGTGTTCTGCAAATTCCTCTGCATGCTTTTATTAGTGTTAAAATGTTTTAATTTGTCACACTCATTTGGACACATCTATTTGTAACTCAACAGATTTTTTTTTTATCTTTTATTCCCTCAAGGCTCACGCTGTCCTGCCTAAGGTTGGATACCCAGAGTTTATGCTAAACGATACCTACCTGAATGAAGATTTGAGAATGGTTTGTATGATTTATTACGATAGCCGGGAAAATTGATACTGCTGATTTATTTCACGTGAAGCTTTAGCTCTCGACGCTTTTCGTGAAAGTGGATAGAACCAAAGAGTTCATAACTATTGTAAATATTTAAGGGATTTAAATATATATATTTTTTACAATCAATAAAATTTGCTTTGCTTCTGACTCAGATTGCATTAAATGTAATAAATGTTGGAGACTAGCTGGAGACACATTTCCAAAAAAAAATTTCTTTTCAGCTGGAATTAAGCTTGAGTTAAGGGGAACAGATACCTTAAGGCAGAGGTTAAGGGAGGCAGCAGAAGGGTCGCATTGCTGTTAGCCAATAAGAGATGAGATGAGATCATGAATATTAATGAGGACGACTCCAAATGCAGCTTTTTTCCACCTCCCCCTTTTAATAAGAATGGTTTTATGTAAAGGGGGAAAGTCTTGTCCCATAAATGTCCTATAAAAACATTTAATTTTCATTTAAGAATATTTTGTGAGTGCTCTATTAAAGATTATTTGCAAACAAATGGTGACAGTTGTGCAAATGTTCTTGTTGCCCTTAGCTCAAACAGTTTCAGTTGTATCTCATTTTGTTTGCAGTTTGGTCACAAACACATTTGAGAAGAGTCCGAGACGCGTTCTAGTCGTCTTTGATGACTCTATGGTGAATTTAGAAGGAAACGCAGGCTTTTGTTACAGGTTTAAAAATTTCAGTGACACAAGGGGAAGGTCTTGGGATTTTAAGCCATTCCCAGTTTTTCACCAACCATTGTAAACCAGTAAGATACTGGCTTAAGGAGAAACTAAACCAGTGCTTTTTTATTTTATTTTTTTGCTTTGATTTCGCTGGGAATAACAAGCATTGTGTATCTGTGTGTTCCAGTTAGAATTTAGTGAAAAGGATTACTACGGTAATGTGATGCAGACTCTGAAGTTCATCGCCCAGTCGGATATCTCCTGGCTTCGAAAGAGCGTTCCACGGACAGAGTGAGTGACTACTAGGTGTGTGAGTCTTTGTTTCACATTTATACTTACAGTGTGTGTGTGTGTGTGTGTGTGTGTGTGTGTGTGTGTGTGTGTGTGTGTGTGTGTGTTTTCAGGTGGTTTACCAACCCTACAACTGTGAACGCATTCTACAGTTCATCCACAAATCAAATCAGTAAGTAAAATACTTATTTTTGGAGTTTAACCCTCTGGAGCCAGGCGTTAAAACCTACCTACCTGGTTACTCCGCATACGTATTTCATGAGCATTTTTTAACTCAGAAGTACCCCTGAAGGACTTAGATGTTCATCCTTTTATCAAAACTTATTTTGAGCCTGAGAGGGTTAGTGATGAATGTTTTTTCATGTTTCATGTCCTCCCAACTGAGCAGAACCACACATTAAATCCATTTTGAACCAATTTTCTAGGATTCCCGGCTGGAGAGCTACAAAAACCCTTCTTCTGGGGAAGAGAGTATCCAAGGTGAGATGAAATGTGTCATGCTCCACTAACAGACCAAAGAAATGCCTCTTCATGGTTTACCCAGCAGAGGTAACAGCTAGAATTTTCTCACATGAGAAACTCGACATGTTCAGAGGGTAGAATTTCAGACTTAACTCCACGAAGCCTGAAACTACCATACAACAATGGTAGTATCACAGTTGTAAAGTTGCTGTTTTAAAAAACTTGTTTTTGCATATTTATACAAATAAACTAGTTTTCAGCAGCATTCATTCATTTGTTTTGAGTGTTTAACAAAAGTCGGTGTGATAAACCTTCGTATTTTGCTGCATTTATTTATAGGGTGAACCTGTAAAACAACTTTAAAGGTTTTTCACACAGGCTGAACATGTCTCCTACACCTATCTCCTGCATTAGCTTTTGATAGAAAACAGAGGGTGAAACATTAGGATTAGAAAATCCTGACAGATCTATGTCACACTGTCATTTATTCATGGACTCACCCATCTTGACTCGTGATAGGGAAGGCTGTTGTTGGAAACAGCAGAAAATGTCTCGGCTAGTAAAAGCTAATCTTTAGCATTAGTAAATTCACCACACGGTAGGTGCTCCTCCAGGCTTTCCTTGTGGAGATAAAACATCAACGTTGCTAGTCAGTAGTAGAATTGCATTGCTGTTATCCAATCGGCGAGATGTCCATATTTCAGGAAATAGGACTCCAAAATCTGCCATCTGAAGCTCAGCACCTACTTGGGTCACCCTTGCGAGGCGATGTCTTGCAAGTTCAGGCGCCTTGCTTACGAGGACACTGTCCTTCCTTGGTCAAAGAAAATGGTTAAATGGAACAGACTTGCATCACGTGACCGCGGCTTCCACGGTGGTCACGTAACGTCACGTGACACGGGAGATAATGTTATATTTTAGATGTATTAGTTTCACTATAAATATATAACGAGCCTTTTACTTTTTATTTTGTGTATATGTTTATTAAATTAAAAATATAGGCAAGTTACTTGCCACCAAAGCTACAACTACTAAGCATCTAACCAACCACTGATAACTTCTTTGAAATTTGTCCCTGAAGTAGCTGCCGGCTTCTGATCCGCCGTCCTTTTGAAAATACCGCGGTGCACTGTGGGTAATTTTTGACCAAGGCTAGGCTACAAGGCACCTCCCGTGGGTCCTCGCTCAGCTAGCTAAACGGCTAACAAACGGAGAACACATGCCTCGGTAGAACATGAACAATGGAATCGATTGGAACACATCTTGGCGGCTCCTGATGACGTATCTCCTAGGCAACCGGGGCGGGACCAAGACATCAAAGCAAGGTTCCTTGACATTGAGAAACGCTCAGCTATTTCCTGGAATTGGTGCACCAGTATATTCTCCCCCCAAGAACGACTTACATGACAATCATTCCTACTAACAACCTCCGCAAATGTATTGATTAAACGAGTGAACCACACATTTAACATTTCATTTGATTGAAGGAGGTCACAAAGTCCAGTACAACATAACTGTGGACAAACTGCACCTCAACCTATGCTAGCACGCTAGTAAAATTCTTTAAAACCTTTAAATGTTTAGCTATTAAAACAACTAACACAAAATATTAATTTGATTTTCCATTTAAGTTGTAACTTTTAAACAAGCCTTTTCTTTTCAATCATATTTGAAAGATGTAACAAGGAGAAAATATCCGACTGTTAACCTGTGATTTAGTTTCTTTGCCAGATTGATAGATAATTAGTAAGGTTTGTTTCATACATTTGATGTCTTCTAACTTCTGCTCTTGTTTAAAATAATGTGTTGTTTTAATAATTTGACACTATTTTTAATATTTCTTGCTGTGGTCATGGCTAACCACTCATTCTTTGATTCCCAGGTCTTTAAGTTATGGTGCCATTGGGGTGATAGTTGGGCACGAGCTAACGCACGGCTTTGACAACAATGGTAAAAATGGACGGCAATGAAATGAAAATGGCGTCTAACTTGCACACAGAGGTACTTTTTCAGGGTTTTCAAGCCTTCTTGGTTTTCTTTGAACAGGTCGCAAATATGATAAAAATGGGAATCTGGATCAGTGGTGGAGCGAGTCATCTGTAACAGCCTTTAACACGATGACTCAGTGTATGATCGATCAGTACAACGACTACTACTGGGAGGAAGCAGGACTAAATGTAAGGAAAATGATTTTTCAGTCTTTGGAAATGAATTTGAAGTTAATGAAAAGACGAATGTGATTCATGATTGTATTCTGTAGGTGCGCGGTAAAAGGACTCTGGCAGAAAACATAGCAGACAACGGGGGAATAAGAGAAGCGTTCAGGGTACGACCTGTAATTCAAAAGAATAATTGCCAAAGTGCTGCCTAATAGAGCATTTTAAGAGCAGACATTCAACCCATTGTATATAAAACAGACTGCTGTGATTTGGCACACCCCCTTCAGAATAATTTGTCTTACCCATGCTGTTAAGCAGTCAAGGTGACAAAATGTTTCTTTTCTCTATTTGTGTGTAGGCTTACAGGCAGTGGGTGGATAGGAGCAGAGGAGGTGTGGAGGAGCCTCTGCTGCCGGGAGTCGAACTGAACAACAATCAACTCTTTTTTCTGAGCTATGCACACGTGAGGAAACTCGTGCATATTTGTCTGTTTGTTTTCTCTTTACTGTGCTGTCATTTGCAGTCTTGAGACAAGATGTGATTTTTACAAGCCTTGGCGTTTTAGCTTAATGTTGATTTCAGACGTAAGTTTTTAACTCATTCACTGCCAGCGTTTCTCGCTGTTTTTACTGTTTTTTTTTAAGAGTGACAGAACGTTGCGCGCTAGGATGATGTAGACCGCCCAAACAACCGAAACAAAGCGGAGACTCACCTCTTACATCAGGAAGAATCCGCGCGTTTCGAGCGTTATCCGTTATTTCATAATCCGTTGTTGAATTGTGATCGGCAGAAGCTTTTCCGGTTCGCGCCTCACTGTTTCTTTACAGCAGCGGCCCAAAACGATCTCCCAACACATGGATGTTCTGCTTCCTGGTCACGTGACGTGTGAAGTATGCGGATGAAGATCGGCTTCCGAGCTGAGATGTTTGTTCTCACGGTGCGGGGGCTCGTTCCGATGCCCAAACAGTGAAAAAATGCAAATGACGACTTTGGTCGTCATTGGCAGTGAACGAGTTAAAGAGTCGTATTCAAGAATGTACATCTCTTATTTGCTCATTTTACTTACCTGAACCTAATGTGCCATTCCCACCTGTACCGGGTCGGCCCAGGCCGGGTAGCCCCAGTCGGCCCCAGCCTGGCCCGGTTGTTTCCACACATCCTTGTCTTAAGCCCATGTGGACTGATTCTTCCCACCAATCAGAGGCTTGCTCTAATGGAAGGTGTGAATTTGCTGTCAGCAGTGGGTGTGTTGGCCCTGGTCGGCCTGAAGCAGACTCCCTCGAGAAGAGGGCTGAGAATGAGCCTTGGTTGGCCCGGAAAAATACCAGCCCACCCAGATATGTAAACAACCTACGCTACCCGGCCCGGGCCGACCCGGTACAGATGGGAGTGGCCCATAAGTGTCTTGCAAGATAATTGTTTAGATCTCTATTTTTATTTACTAATTTATTTAATTACTAATTACTTCTGTATTCTAAGACTGTATTGTTTTTTGTATAAAAAAAAGCCCCAAAATTGCCAGATTTTATCTAATTGGTCATGCATACTCAAAATTAATTATAGTTTCCCTGACATGACTGCCCCATTTCTATGAAGGGAGCCTTTAGTCAGATTTTTTCCTTTTCATTTGACTCTCATTCAAATGCAACCGGCTTTCAAAAGATTTTTAGTTTTTATTTTATTTAACCTTTATTTCACCAGTTGAGTCCACTGAGAAACCATTCTCGTTTACGATGATCTGGCCAAGAGGCAGCAGCCAGCAACAGTCACATAATTAACTTTACACCTAAGAAAAACAGATAGATTGGATAAAAACAAACAAGATAAAAATAACTGTAATTATTTGACACAAAAGGAGGGTTACAAATAGGGTACGTCTTTGGATCTGAACACTTTTTGCACGAGAAGCACTATTTGGTTATCAGGGCAGAATGAGGCACAAGTCTCTGGTTTGGGAGGTTTTTTACATGGAGGGGCGTGCAGAGAACAGTGCTAAAATTTGATAGCATTAAAAAGTTGTGATAGATAGATGGTTTATAATCTGTGCTAAGGATGTACTAATTGACCGTTCTTGTGTTATTGCATATTTTTATATATGTATGCTTGCAGGTTAGATGTAATTCATACAGACCAGAGGCAGCCAGAGAACAGATCCAGAGTGGAGCTCACAGTCCACCAAAATACAGGTCATCATGCAAACAAAATATAAAAAAATACAGGTGCAGCATCCTTCCAAACTGATCTTTCTTATTATCGTCATGCAGAGTCATCGGAGCGATGAGTAATTATGAGGAGTTCCAGAAAGCGTTCAAGTGTCCCGCGTCGTCAGTCATGAACCGAGGAGAGCTTTCCTGTCGGGTTTGGTGATCTCTGATTCCTGACTGATGATAAACTTCCAAACTGGACCAGAGGCAACAGCAGGAAGAGGCTGAAAAGGCTTGATAACATTGCAAAGACAATGGAGGAACAAGAAAACGGATTTATGTCCAAGCCGTGGACATGTTTGGGAAGAAGACCAAAACTGTTCCAGTTTACTGGAATACATGTTTGTTAAAATCTTCAAACTCTAAACCTTAAAAATGCTTTTGTGATGCTGTAAATACTCAAAAAGCATATATTTTAAACTTAACTGAGCAGGTATATTTCAGGTGTAGCAGGTGCAAAGGTGTATTTTAAGGCCCTGTCCACACGTAGCCGGGGATCTGCCAAGACGTAGATATTTTTCTACGTTTTGGCCTGTCATCCACACGAAAACGGAGTTTTTTCACACGAAAACAGATCTTTTTAAAAACTCCGGCCAAAGTGTAGATCTGCGTTTTCTCCGTTTTGGGTGTCTGCGTGTGGACGGACAAAACCGGAGTTTTAAGGTCCGCAACGTCACTTTCCGTGACAAAAAAATGCTGACATCACGTGTGCGACCTGTGTTTACGCTAGCCGACTGCGCTCGCTTTATCAATTGTCCAAGCGCTTTTTGCTTGTTTGTTTTTGCAAGCGGAATTACTGCTCCTTGCGGAAGACCACAGACGAAGGACGAGGTTAAGAACGGGGGAAGTACTGCCGCCTACAGGTCTGGCATGTCCTTAACAACGTATTTATCCGGGTACGTGTGGACAGAGTTTTTTTTTTTAAACGAGGTGGTGTGGATGCAAGTTTTTGGAGGGGCGGATATTCGTTTTAAAAAAAACCCGGCTACGTGTGGACTAGGTCTCAGTCACCGCATTCATAACCCACTATGGACTCACTGCTCTCCTCATTCATTGAGCCTCCTTCATACCCCTGAGCAGCAGAGGCTGGGGGATGCCCTAGAGGCTGATCTCAGCACCTCCCACCCACAACTTGTGGGTTATGTTATAATTGTCTGAATATGTGCTTTTAGGTATGCTGAGCTGTTCTTCTGTATCCCCACAATACAGCCAGATTATGTATGTGATTTTAATGTGCTGTATGTCAAATCTTGGACGGGTTGTACTGAAACAAAAACTTTGTTGTGCCGGGACGCACAATGACAATAAAGTCATTAGAACTCTGGTGAACACTGTAGACCAAAAATCTTATTTTCTGTCTTTTTAAAACAAACACTGAAACAATAACCCACTGGAAGATTCTTTGTGTTAAGTCCTATTTTGAGAACACGTTGTGTGTTAAACTGTGGATCCAAAATCATTTTTTTGTCTTTGCGTTTGTGTTTCTGTCGGACTTTTCATTATTTGTTCTATTTTTGGGTTGAAAATAAACAAATCTTATGCAGTTCTCAGTTAGTCATTTGTCACATTTAATTAAACAGCAAGAGAAGTTGCAAATAGCTACACCTAAAACCCTATTACTAAAATATCATAAAAAGTGAGTTAGAACTGGATTTAAAAAAATATTTGTTAATATTATATAACAGAATATGTTGAATAAATGTTTAAGAACAATAAAATATGAAGTTTTACATCTTCAAAACTCTTTCTTATTAAATTATTTTTGTCAAAGTTTGAAACCATTGACAAAAATCATTCCCATAATCAAATGGAATGTATTTATTTAATTATTGTTTGCCCTTGTTAGCTTTATTTTACCTGAGAATGAGTTAAACAAAATTTCAAAATAAAGTTATGTAGATTTAAAGAGCAAGTCACCCCCTACAAGAAACTTACTTCACTCCCTCTTCATGTTTGAAAAATGCAACAAATGCTGTTGCCTAGCAGATCGAGAGGGTGGAGCAGCTAACAAATACACACACACACAGGCTCACAACGGCATTGTGACATCATAAGGACCAGTTGACATCATAGCATACCCCTTAGCCAATAGCGGTGGCAGATTTAAATTCTAACGCAGTGCAGAGTTTTTACCTGGCAATGGCACAACACTGACAGTTTTAGGCAGAAAATTACAATTTTAACTAAAATGTACTAAAGTACAAAACTATTGACTACACGTGTCTGCAGCACGATTAGACACACATTTATATAGTTTATCAGAAAAAACGTTGATTTGGGGGTGACTTGCTCTTTAAAATACCTGTAATAATTAAACATTTAATTAAAGAGTGAAACTCAAAAGTGCAACAAACCAAATGCTTTTCACATTGGAAAAATATTTTATTAATATCTAAGTTTATTATTATCACTATCTGCTGTCTTTTTACTAATTCAGCAATACAACATCCATTCTGTAAATTCTTAAGATTATAATTCACTCCGTTTCAACAACTACATAATGACTGGTGAGTGAAGGTGTGTGTGTGTGTGTGTGTGTGTGTGTGTGTGTGTGTGTGTGTGTGTGTGTGTGTGTGTGTGTGTGTGTGTGTGTGTGTGTGTGTGTGTGTGTGTGTGTGTGTGTGTGTGTGTGTGTGTGTGAGAGAGTGATGTTATCGGAGGCGTACAGCTGAATCTGATGGATGATCAACAAAAGCTTGTTCTTTCATTGATTTTTTTTCCCTCTAGTTTAGCTTTTGTCCTCAGCACCACACATCACATCTCATTCATTCATATTCGCCATTCCCATGGCAACTTGTTGTGCATTAGAGGAGAAGCTTTACCCAGATGCATGGGTGGTTGCGTGGCTCTGGGTTTGTCCTACAATGTGCAGCGGGGGGTAATAATAATGATTTGTATCTGTGGCAACACCAGCGGCAGCCTCATCAATTCACATCCGATTAAGAACAGTCCGATGCCTCAAGGCGTTGTTGTGCGAGCGTCTCGGTGGGGTGTTGGGATGATTAAGAAACGAGGAAGAGGAAGTGAGATGGATGATAATGAGCTTGGATTTATTTTTTACTGTCTGAAGCCATTATTTGACTTATCAAGGCTGTTTTGATTGCTCATTGCGTTGCGTTGTTTTCCTTCTCACTACAAGCAGGTCTTCTGAAGACAGATTTTTTTTTTTAATTCAAAGGTTAATAGATACATTTGGAGAACCAGATTTAAATAATGAGCTAATGGATTGTACTAGCTTGGCTTTTTCCTAATTGTGTTACCACAGTCTTTTAAAAAAAGTCTCAGACATGTTTGCCTTTGAACTAAGTTTATGATGATTATACATTTAAAGTAAAACTTTTTCATAAATCAACATTTAAGATGTTTTCTGCTGTTATCATTTTTGTTTTGTTCCTTCGCAGCTCTGCCATCACAAAAACTGCCATAACGGTGCTCAACCCACCGAATGCCTCTCTAGAAACATAGAACGCTGTGATTGGCCCAGCCTAAACTTAGCTGAGCCAATGGTAGACCTGCTGAGGTTACAGTGAAGCATTGCTTGACCGACCTGCTTCTGCTATGGTTTGTCTAGATTTCTAGGCTCCAACTTAGTCCTTTTATTTCATTTAAGCGTGCACCAATTTTAACTATTAAAAAAACTCCCAAACTACAAAAGTTAAACATCATAAATTCATTATTACTACATTAAAAGTAAAAATCTTTAGAAAAATGTACACAAAAGGATTCGATTCAATTGTACTTTTTTTTTATTTTTGAAAATAATTTAATTTGCAGTTTTACAGAATTTTTCAAGACCGCACCAGTACTGTTAGCTCTTGTAGGATGTGATGTCATAACTCAGCTGTCAAATTCAAGCTCAGGATTTGTGAAATAGTTTGTTTTTAGTTCGTGTTAAGTCAGTTAGTTTGCGTTGGCTCCAACAGTTAATGGCAAAGGTTTAGCACTTGGATTAGGCAAGGCAGCTTTTTTTATAAAGTATATTTCAAACACAGATTCAGTGTGCTTTACAATTAGCAGGACATGATATGAAAACAACATAAAAACACAATTTAAATTTCAAAATGTGAATTACTCTTCTGAAAACAACTCATTTTAGCTCAATTTTGGGAAAAATCGTTTTGGAGGAATTAGGAAAGAAAGAGACTTACAGGAAAGTGTAGGCATGCTTGATATTACAGAAGAGCAACACAACAGTGAATTAGGGGGACTTCCGGTATGGCGGAGAGGCGAGAGGCTGTGTAATCCTTCAGCTCCGAGCAGGGTTCAACACTCCCCCCAACAGTTACACTTTTGGATGGACAAACCATAGTATGGAAGGGGGAGCTAAAAGAAAGGCAAGAGGAAACACGCAAAACAAGATGCATAAACAAGCCTTTCCATCGGAAAAAGGTGAACCAGACACGGCTAACGACAGTAAAAACGAGGGCTAGAAAAAGACACTCATGTACTTGAAAGAAACCTTAAAAAGGAAGAAGAGGAACACATGAAAAATAATAGCTGACAAACATTGGAAGAAGTGCTGAACGTCAAAAAGAAGCTCAATGTAATCTATGAACAACAAATTGAAAAAAAGGCTAAATTTGTTAAGAATGGACCCAAAGCTAAGAAAATACTAGCCTGGCGAACACGTAAGCAGCAAACGAATAGATATATACACAAAATCAAAAACCAATGGACAAACACTATGCAATATCAACCTGAGGAAATTCAACAATCTTTTATATCATACTATACAAGCCTTTATAGCCAATTCCCCGGAACTGATAAATCAAATGTTGAGACAAATTTAAATGTGTTGGGCTTGCCATCTATAGGCACAGAACAAAATAAAGCACTAACCAAAAAAAAAAAAAATCACAGAAGATGAAATTAACAAAATTATTTCTAAACTAAAATCAAATAAGATGCCAGTCCCAGACGGGTTTCCTTCCGAGTGGTACAAATCCTTCAGACAGGTTTTAACACCTTTATTATATCAATGCTTTAACCACATACTGGAGGGAGGAACGCCTCCAGGATCCTGGAAATATGCCCTGATATCAGTGATATTTAAACCGGGGAAGGAAAAGTCAGAATGCAGCTCGTATCGTCCCATCTCTATATTAAATTTAGATTATAAAATATTTGCTTCGATCTTATCTAAACATCTAGAAAATATCTTACCTCAGCTCATAGATACGGATCAAACAGGTTTTCTTAAAAGTAGACAAACCCACGACAACGTGAAAAGAGCCTTTCAAACAACACGTTCTCACACCCAAGGCGTCAACATCTGACGCGTGTGACCAAGCCTCAATATATAACGATTCGGGACGCCCCAGCACGTCAGGAGACGACGATCAGGGACAAACTGGTGATGCAGCGTCCTAGAGCGTCGGTATCTGACGCCGGTGGTGAGACGGACATTAGAACTACTTGTAAACTACTTAACCTTGGTCACACGCGTCATATTTTGATGCCTTGGGTGTGAGAATGTGTTGTTTAATAATCAAATAATAGGCTGCCTCAAAAATGTATATGACTCACCGGTAGCTAGGATAAAGACAAACAGAGACCTATCCAAGCCCTTCCCTTTGGAAAGAGGATGCAGACAAGGATGTCCCTAAGTCCGGCCCTGTTTGCATTATACACTGAACCCCTCGCACAGTCCATTCGAGACTGTGAGGAAATTGCAGGGGTATCCATCCTGAACGAACAATATAAAATTTGTTTATATGCCGATGATGTCTTGTTGACCTTAGCAAACCCAGACCAGAGCATACCAGCTCTAATACAAACACTCAAGATTTTCGGCGGTCACTCAGGCTATAAATTAAACCTCCATTAAACACAGATCTTAACCTTTAATTATAAGCCACATAAACACATTTTTTAACTTTTAAACGGCAAATGGAACAATCAAGTAAAATACCTTGGGATTTATATTCCTAGAATATTAACCAACCTATTTGCAGTTAATTGCCCCCCCATGATAGACAGCATCGAAGCTAGTTTATCCAGATGGCAACTGTTACCAATAAACATGTACCATAAGATTGACCTAATAAAAATGGCAATATTACCAAAACCACTATTCCTATTTTTGCACTACCAGTAGAAATTCCCCCTGTCCAATTTACAAAATGGAATAGAATGATTTTGAAATTTATTTGGGGAAAACTGAGACCAAGGACCAGAGCGGAAACCCTGAAGCTGCCCAAAAATAAAGGCGGACTAGCAGTGCCATCATTAAAAAGTTATTACGAAATGGCTCAGCTGAAAACTTTACTAGCTTGTTGTGATCCAAACAACGATGCTAAATGGAAAGACATAGTTCAAAAAGAAACACACCTTCCTCTGTCTGCCATGGCGGGTGACAGATTAATAATGCAGTCATTAATAAATAAGAATCCGAATCTGATAAAAATGCCACTCACCATCTGGCTGAAAAAATTTTAAAATAGCAAAATTGAGACAGACACAAAAATATTACGTTGTCCGGCTTATGACTCAAATTTCCTACCCGCAAAATTAGATTCAAGATTTAAATTGTGGGCTAAGCAGGGC